GGAGTCCCTGACTAGCAGACCACCAGGGGGTCCCACAGACCCCCTGCAGTACCCTAGCAGACCACCAGGGTCCCTCAGATCCCCTGTAGTACCCTAGGAGATCACCAAGGGTCCCTCAGACCCCCTGTAGTACCCTAGCAGACCACCAGGGTCCCTCAGATCCCCTGTAGTACCCTAGGAGATCACCAAGGGTCCCTCAGACCCCCTGTAGTACCCTAGCAGACCACCAGGGGTCCCTCATACCCCCTGTAGTACCCTAGCAGACCACCAGGGGTCCCGCAGATCCCCTGCAGTACCCTAGGAGACCACCAGGGGTCCCTCAGACCCCCTGTAGTACCCTAGCAGACCACCAGGGGTCCCTCAGATCACCTGTAGTACCCTAGCAAACCACCAGGGGTCCCTCAGACCCCCTGTAGTACCCTAGCAGACCACCAGGGGTCCCGCAGATCCCCTGCAGTACCCTAGGAGACCACCAGGGGTCCCTCAGACCCCCTACAGTACCCTAGCAGACCACCAGGGGTCCCGCAGACCCCCTGTAGTACCCTAGCAGACCACTGGGGTCCTGCAGACCCCCTGCAGTACCCTAGCAGACCACCAGGGGTCCCTCAGACCCCCTGTAGTACCCTAGCAGACCACCAGGGGTCCCACAGACCCCCTGTAGTACCCTAGCAGACCACCAGGGGTCCCGCAGAACCCCTGCAGTACCCTAGACCACCAAAAGTCCCTCAGACCCCCTGCAGTACCCTAGTAGACCACCAGGGGTTCCGCAGACCCCAGCAGTACCCTAGGAGACCACCAAGGAGTTCCTCAGACCCCCGATTGGGACCTGCTGCTTTGGAGCTGAGTTGGCGAGCAAACGATTGAGCGAGTCTGTTTTGCATTGCATAGCCTTTTATAAGCACTCAGTAGTCAGTACAATTCTCATCTCACACGAGCAACGCGCTGTCCGATATCGTACAATGGATGGGTATGGCACGTTCACAAGCAATCACAGATTATTGTTGCTTTTCGGTGCCGAGTCGACCGAGGGGAGACCCACACCAAAAGCTACCTGCGGTGTCGGCAGTAACATCCGCTTACATTCACAATCACGAAAGAGAAAGATCCACCCGCGTAGCCTGTAGGGGCAAGTGCTTTTAGCGAGTAGCAGCACCTATGAAGGCCGGCACGGCACACAGAGGGGGTGGGTGGCCAGCACCACGCCCGGCCGCCTTTGTCTCCCCAGTGCTAGCGATGTTTACTACGCTACGCCGCTACACCAGGTACTCATTTGAGGCCGAGTCGACCTAGGGGAGGACTCGGGACTGGTTCTGACACCACTCGCCACTGACGTTGGCCGTGAGCGGGATTCGAACCGGGGTCTCTGCCGGACACCGCAGAGTGCAGTGCGCAAACCGCTGCGCTACCACTCTTCACAGACACAAATTAACAGCGACATACACGTAGACACCGTCACACCCAAGACTACAACAGCTGCCACTTGCCACGGAGTGGAGATGTCAACACGACGCCTGTGCCGGGCTAGGTGCACTTGAAGTGTCGAGGGCTCGCTGCTGCCAGGTCACAGAACAGACCCAGCAGGTGCCGTGGGTCGGCCGACTGAGAGGACCGGCAGATGCACCATCAGCTGTGTCCCCTACTGTGCCAACTTGCTGCATTTACCCAGGCAGGTGCTTAGTTTTGGTGGGGCTGATGTGAAGACCTCACATCTTAGTGTCACGCTCCAGGTTCAGTAGCAGCGCTGCCAACTCCTCTTCTGAGCAGCAATTACCAGATCAGCATACGTAACATGGTTGACCAATAGGGAGCCATCGCTTGACCACATCCAGGCATCGATCAGCCTCCTATTATATCTGTACCAGATTAAGATCCCTCCAATATAGCCATAGAAAGCTGCACGAACTACGTGGTCGAAGATAATGTATCATAATGTGGTAGCCAGAGGACATCCCTGTCGAATCCCAAAGTGAACAGGGAATGGCTCCGACTCCCGGCCACGTACAATTGGGCCTGCCCACCATCATGAAGGCCCTTAATGATTTTGAGCAGTCAGGGCCTCCAAAAGCACGAAAACAACTCAGAGCCCACACCTATTGATGGTATCATAGCCCTTGACCAGATCAATAAAGCAGTGATGTAGTTTCTGCTGGAATTCCCGACACCTCTGCTGTAATAAGCAGACAGAATGTGGCATCTGTGCAGGACTGCCCTGGCCTGAAACCACATTGGGGCTCCGCAAGCCTCTCCTCAGCGTGCCTGGCAAGGCAATGTTAAATAATCCTTGCCAGGACCTTCCCCGGCACACTGAGGAGTGAGTTGCCCCTGTAGTTGTTACAGTATGTGCGGTCCCCCTTCTTAAAGAGGAGGATCACCAGGGCATCCTTCCAATCCTGTGGAACCCATCCAGTGGTCCAAACTGTTGTGATGATGTCATGTAGGGCGGTCTGCACACAGATGCCACCCTCCCTCAGCAGTTCACTTGGGAGATCGTCTCTGCCCGGCGCTGTCTTCTAGTGCCTGTGTCATGACCAACTCGGGCATTAAAGTCACCCAACAGGATGCCTCTATCTTCAGGGGCCAATTTATCTAGCACCTAGGACATTAGGTCATGGAAGGCATCCGACTCATCATCCTTGCCTGCATGCCTCCACTGACACACACACACAGAGATACCACAAACACGACAACAGCTGCCATTCACCGCTGAGTGGTGATGTCACCACAGCGCTTGTGCCAGGGTAGGTGCACTTTTGACACCACAAGACAAAGACACATGCAGACACACACGCATATACAACAACAACGGCTGCTGTCCAACACGACTAAGCGATGGCAACGTCACCAGGGTGCTTGTGCCACGTTAGGTGCACACGGATCGCACAGACACTCTGGTAGACACACACCGACACACACACACACACACAGATGCTCGCGTAGATACACGCACAGAGACGCACAGACACACACACTCGCATGGTGCTCTGTATTACAAAGTGTACTCACTGAGGAATGTCACCCTAAGAAGCACCCCAAAGAGTAACTATTAACGTCGCATCAGCATCATCAGCATCGTCATTAACTACGACCACACAAAGTTTGTGTAAAAAATGAGATGTTTGTCCCCATTTAAAAGCCCCAAAAAACACCAAAGTTCACCTTAGTCCCTCAAGCGCACTCAACCACCACCGCCGATTTACGTGCCAATTAGAGATGGCACCACCGCGTTCGCCCGACCGACCCTGCAAACCCCCCACCCCCGCAACCCGGGGGAAACCAGTTGCGCGCGACCGCTTTACGCACGCGTTCCGTCTCTGCAACTGGTTGCGGCGCGAGCGGTGGCCACCCAATCAACGGTTCAGCTCTGGCCCCACCACCCCGTCTGGCCCCGCCCCCCGTCTGGCCCCGCCCCCGTCTGGCCCCGCCCCCGTCTGGCCCCACCCCCCGTCTGGCCCCACCCCACGTCTGGCCCCACCCCCTGCGATTGTCTCTCCGCTGCGTAACTACGATTTGCGTTTGTGCCTCTGATTTCTCATAAACATTGTCCATAGACGAACATCGTCCATCTAGCATTGCTTATAATCTTACATGATCCATAGACTCACTGTCCCATTGACTAACATTGCCCATCTAACATTGCTTATAATCTTACATGATCCATAGACTAACATTGTCCCATAGTCTAACATTCCCCATAGACTAGCACTACCTACAGACTCAGCACTGCCACCCATAGACTCAACACAAACATTGCCCATCAAAACACACCACGACCACCATCAGTAACACTACCACCAACACACATACCACCCACACATACCACCCACACCATCATCATCACACCTACCCCACCACCACCACCCACATCACCACCCACACCACCAGCCACCATCAAGCTGACTCCGGATGGATGAGTGAGTAAATGAGTGGGTGGGTGAGTAGGTAGGTGAGTGGTTGGGTGAGTGAGTGGCTGGGTGAGTAGGTGAGTGGCTGGTTGAGTAGGTAGATGAGTGGCTGGGTGAGTAGGTGAGTGCCTGGGTGAGAAAGTGAGTGGCTGGGTGAGTAGGTTGGTGAGTGGCTGGGCGAGTAGGTGAGTGGCTGGGTGAGTAGGTCGGTGAGTGGCTGGGTGAGTAGGCGAGTGGCTGGGTATGTGAGTGGCTGGGTGAGTAGGTGAGTGGCTGAGTGAGTAGGTTGGTGAGTGGCTGGGTAAGTAGGTAGGCGAGTAGCTGGGTGAGTAGGTGAGTAGCTGTGTGAGTATGCGAGTCGCTGGGTGAGTAGGCGAGTCGCTGGGTGAGTAGGTAGGCGAGTGGCTGGGTGAGTATGTCAGTGGCTGGGTGAGTAGGTGGGTGGCTGGGTGAGTAGATGGGTGGCTGGGTGAGTAGGTTGGTGAGTGGCTGGGTGAGAAGGTGAGTGGCTGGGTGAGTATTATTGGCAGCACTGCTATTCCCTTTAAAAATAAAGTGATCGCTATTTTGACAAGTGAGTAAATTCTATCATTAATTTACTGACTCACCTATGCGCACATTTGTCACGAGGGGCGATGTGAAATGTGTTCAGGACGTACAAGCTGTGTTTATAGTGACTGCATTCACCCTGTAGACAGATGCACAACGCACAGTTACCAACATCTCTCGACGAGACGCCGACACAGAGAATACTAGTCCCTCGGTGGTGGTGGTAGTAGTAGTGGAAGTAGTAGTGGTAGCAGTAATAGTGGTGGTAGTAGTCGTGGTAGTAGGAGTGGTGGTAGTAGTAGTGGTAGTAGGAGTGGTGGTAGTGGTAGTAGTAGTGGTAGTAGTGTGGCGGTGGTAGTGGTGGTGTGGATGAGAGATCTGACCATGTGGGTTACAGAGGGGAACGTTGCAGGTAATGGAGGTGGCCATCACCACCATCACCACCACCATCACCACCACCACCATCACCACCACCATCACCACCACCACCATCACCACCACCACCACCATCACCACCACCACCATCATCACCACCACCATCACCACCATCACCACCATCACCATCATCATCACCTCCACCACCAACGTCTAAACCATCATCACCACCATCACCACCACCCCCACACCTCCGTCACGCATTCTTTTTGAGGAAGGGCTGGCTCGTTCCATCACCACCACCATCACCATCTTCCTCCTCCTCCTCCTCAAAGCTGGGCCCAGGACGCTGTGGCCCTGGTTCTGATCCAAGCCGAGAGGCACGAGGCTTCTGGGGAGGGCCGTTATTGGGGAAGCCTGGAAATACAAAGACGGCCGGGTTACATCACTCAGTCGCTCACCCAGCCACTCACCCAGCCACTCACCTAGTAACTCACTCACTCGCTCTCCTAGCCACTCACTCACTCGCTCACCCAGTCGCTCACCCAGCCACTCAACCACTCACTCGCTCACCCACTCGCTCACTCACTCACTCACTCGCTCACTCACTCACTCACCCACTGGCTCACCCAGCCACTCACCCAGCGACTCACCCATCCACTCACTCACTCGCTCACCCAGCCACTCACTCACTCAGCCACTCACTCACTCGCTCAGCCAGCCACTCACCTAGTAACTCACTCACTCGCTCAGCCAGCTACTCACCTAGTAACTCGCTCAGCCAGCCACTCACCTAGTAACTCACTCACTCGCTCAGCCAGCTACTCACCTAGTAACTTACTCACTTTCTCACCCAGCCACTCACCAACTCACCTAGTAACTTACTCACTCGCTCAGCCAGCCACTCACCTAGTAACTCACTCACTCGCTCACCCAGCTACTCACCTAGTAACTTACTCACTCGCTCACCCAGCCACTCACCCCCACTCAACTGGTTACTCACTCACTCACATTATGCATGCACATTATTTGCATGCATAATATACATTCATAATGTACGTACATTAATGCACATACATACTATACATATGTATCATGGGGTCACAGTAGGGTCACCGTGGGGTCACACCGTGGGGTCACACCGTGGGGTCACACCACGGGGTCACACCACGGGGGTCACGTTGTGACGTTGATTTTAGCTTTTTGTCGGAGCGGACCCGGGGGAGAGCCGGCGGCGACGTCGCCGGGGGTGAAGACGTCCTCGTCGCCGGGGGTGCCGGGGTCGGCGCGGGGGTCGCGGGGGCTCGTGGGGGTCGCGACCTCCTCGTCCCCCCCCTCCTCCGTCTCGTCCACCTCCACGTAGTAGCCCACTGCACAGGCACCGTCGGGGGCAAGCGCAGCGAGAAGTAGCCACGAGCTTCGACTACAACACTACTATACACTACACTATACACTACACTATACACTACACTATACACTACTATACACTACACTACTATACACTACACCACTACACTATACACTACACTATACACTACACTACTATACACTACACTATACACTACACTACTATACACTACACTATACACTACACTACTACACTATACACTACACTATACACTACACTATACACTACACTACTACACTATACACTACACTATACACTACACTATACACTACACTACTACACTATACACTACACTATACACTACACTACTATACACTACACTATACACTACACCACTACACTATACACTACTATACACTACACTACTATACACTACACTACTATACACTACACTATACACTACACCACTACACTACACTATACACTACTATACACTACACTATACACTACACACTACACTATACACTACACTACTATACACTACACTATACACTACTATACACTACACTATACACTGCTATACACTACACTATACACTACACTATACACTACTATACACTACACCACTACACTACTATACACTACACCACTACACTACTATACACTACACTACTATACACTACACTATACACTACACTATACACTACACTATACACTACACTATACTATACACTACACTACACACTACTATACACTACTATACACTACACCACTACACTACACTACTATACACTACACTACTATACACTACACTACTATACACTACACTATTATACACTATACTACACGGGTGTGTGTGTGTCTGTGTGTGTGTGTGTCTGTGTGTGTGTGTCTGTGTGTGTGTGTCTGTGTGTGTGTCTGTGTGTGTGTGTCTGTGTGTGTGTCTGTGTGTGTGTGTCTGTGTCTGCGTGTGTGTGTCTGTGTGTGTGTGTCTGTGTGTGTTTGTCTGTGTGTGTGTCTGTGTGTGTGTGTGTCTGTGTGTGTGTGTGTGTGTCTGTGTGTGTCTGTGTGTGTGTGTGTCTGTGTGTGTGTGTGTCTGTGTGTGTGTCTGTGTGTGTGTGTGTCTGTGTGTGTCTGTGTGTGTGTGTCTGTGTGTGTGTGTGTGTCTGTGTGTGTGTCTGTGTGTGTGTGTCTGTGTGTGTGTCTGTGTGTGTGTGTCTGTGTGTGTGTGTCTGTGTGTGTGTGGTTGTGGTAGTGGCCGGCCTCTCGCGGCCTCTGCAGGCCCCGACCTGTCTTGGCGCGGTTCAGCTTGCGGCCGTGAGCGTCGGACGCCGTCTCCGTGGGAACCGACAGCTGATGCTGCAGCTCCCCCCGCTTGGGCCGCTCCGAGTTGAACTGCAACCACGGCAACAGCAGCCACGGTAACCGCCACGGTAACAACAGCCGTGGTAACAGCCACGGTAACAGCAGCCACGGTAACAACAGCCGTGGTAACAGCCACGGTAACAGCCACGGTAACAACAGACGTGGTAACAGCCACGGTAACAGCCACGGTAACAACAGCCACGGTAACAACAGCCACGGTAACAGCCACGGTAACAACAGACGTGGTAACAACAGACGTGGTAACAGCCACGGTAACCGCCACAGTAACAGCCACGGTAACAGCCACGGTAACCGCCACGGTAACAACAGCCACGGTAACAGCCATGGTAACAGCGACCATGGTAACAGCCACGGTAACAGCCACGGTAACAACCACCACGGTAACAGCCACGGTAACAACCACCACGGTAACAGCCACGGTAACAGCCACGGTAACAACCACCACGGTAACAGCCACGCTAACCACCATGGTAACAGCCACGCTAACCACCATGGTAACAGCCATGGTAACAGCCACGGTAACAACCACGGTAACAGCCACGGTAACAACCACCACGGTAACAGCCACGGTAACAGCCACAGTAACAACCACGGTAACAGCCACGCTAACCACCACGGTAACAGCCACGGTAACAGCCACCACGGTAACAGCCACGGTAACAGCCACGCTAACCACCATGGTAACAGCCATGGTTACAACCACCACGGTAACAGTCACGGTAACAGCCACGCTAACCACCACGGTAACAGCCACGGTAACAACCACCACGGTAACAGCCACGGTAACAGCCACGCTAACCACCATGGTAACAGTCACGGTAACAGCCACAGTAACAACCACCATGGTAACAGCCACAGTAACAGCCACCACAGTAACAACCACTACGGTAACAGCCACGGTAACAGCCACGGTAACAACCACCACGGTAACAGCCACGGTAACAACCACCACGGTAACAGCCACAGTAACAACCACCACGGTAACAGCCACAGTAACAGCCACAGTAACAACCACCACGGTAACAGCCACGGTAACAGCCACAGTAACAGCCACAGTAACAGCCACGGTAACAACCACCACGGTAACAGCCACGGTAACAACCACCATGGTAACAGCCACGGTAACAGCCACCATGGTAACAGCCACGGTAACCACAGCAAGTCACCGCCGACAGCTGCGGTGCTGGAGCCACGGTAGCCATGGTAACAGCCACGGTAACCATGGTAACCGCCACTGTAGCCACAGTAACCACCACCTCGATGTTAACCATGGGGTTAACCATGGTAACCACGGCAACCACCACAGCATCAACCACAGCATCAACCACAGCAGCAGAACCATCGGCAGGGTTATCACCGCCACCACCGCCATCACCACCACCACCATCACCACCACCACCACCGCCACCACCGTCACCACCACCACCACCGCCATCACCATCACCACCGCCACCACGGTCACCACTACCACCGTCACCACCACAACCACCGTCACCACCACAACCACCATCACCACCACCACCACCTCCACCGTCACCACCACCACCGCCACCACCACCACCACCACCACCACCGCCACCACCACCACCACCACCACCGCCACCACCACCACTACCGCCACCACCGTCACCACCACCACCAACACCACCACCGCCACCGCCACCTCCACCGTCACCACCTCCACCGTCACCACCACCACTGCCACCACCACCGCCGTCACCACCACCGCCACCACCACCACCACCACCGTCACCACCACAACCACCGCCGCCACCACCACCACCACCACCGTCACCACCACCACCACCACCACCACCACAACCATCACCACCATCACCACCACCGCCACCACCATCACCGTCACCACCACCACCACCACCACCGCCACCACCACCACCGTCACCGCCACGGCACAGCGTGAACCGGGCACCGGCGGCTCCGGCGTGCCGATCGGCGCTGGCCCCTCACCCGCCGCTTGAGGTCGTTGAACTTTCGCCGCCGCAAGAGAATCTCTCCGGCCTGCTTCTCCATGAGGTCGGCCGGCAGCGTGTGGCGGTTGTACGAAGTCAGCTGTTGGTGGGGGGGGTGGGGGGTAGGTGGGTGGGAGGGGGTGGGGGGGTTTAAGGGGTGGGGGGGGTGGGGGGGAGCGGTGGTGCAGTGGTTAGCGCCACGCTGCGCTACGAACCCGGCAGAGTTTGATTCCTGCTCACGGCCGCCGCCACCACCACCACCACTCCGTGGCAGCGATCATCTGAACCGGCGGCTCATCCCCTAGGTCGACTCAGCCTCAAGTGAGCACCCGGTGTAGCGGCGTAGCGGCGTGAACATCGCCACTGGGGAGAGACAAAGGCGGCCGGGCGTGGTGGTGCTGGCCATCCACCCCCTCTGTGTGTGCCACAGTGCCGGTAGCCTTCATAGGTGCTGCTGCTGCTGCTGCTACTAACAGCACTTGCCCCTACAGTCCGTTACAGGCTACATGGGGGACCTTTGTCTGTGTGTGTGGGGATACACAGACAAAGCTCCCCCGTGCAGCCTTTAACAAGTCTGTGGGGGCAAGTGCTGTTAGTATCGCCATGGTGGCTAGGGAGGTGTTAACTACCTCGCCTGGTGTGCAGGAGGTCGTGGGTTCGATGTTGAGATGTTGACTACCTCGCCCGGTGTACAGGAGGTCGTGGGTTCAATGTTGAGATGTTGACTACCTCGCCTGGTATGAAGGAAGTCGTGGGTTCGATGTTGAGATGTTAACTACCTCGCCTGGTATGCAGGAGGTCGTGGGTTCGATGTTGAGATGTTAACTACCTCGCCTGGTATGCAGGAGGTCGTGGGTTCGATGTTGAGATGTTAACTACCTCGCCTGGTATGCAGAAGGTCGTGGGTTCGATGTTAAGCTGTTAACTACCTCGCCTGGTATGCAGAAGGTCGTGGGTTCGATGTTGAGATGTTAACCACCTTGCCTGGTGTACAGGAGGCCGTGGGTTCGATGTACACTGTGTGTACGTGTGTACACACATGTATATGTGTACACACGTACACATACACTATGCCTGTATGTGTGTGTGTACCTGTACACACTGCGTGTATGTGTGCGTGTGTGTGCATGTGTGTACGTGTGTGTACGTGTGTGTACGTGTGCGTGTGTGTACGTGTGTGTACGTGTGTGTACACTGTGTGTGTGTACGTGGTGTGTACGTGTGTGTGTGTGTGTGTACACCGTGTGTGTACGTGCTGTGTACGTGTGTGTGTACACCGTGTATGTACGTGCTGTGTACGTGTGTGTGTGTGCGTGTGTACGTACGCGTTGGCGCGTGCGGTAGAAGTGCTGTTCCACCAGCTTGCGGACGTCCTCCATGCGCTCCGGGTTCATCTCCGGCGCCACCACCACCGCCTCCTCGCCCTGCCGGTACCTGGCACACAGACACAGACAAAGGTCCCCCGCGTAGCCTTGACAGAGTGTAGGGGCAAGTGCTGTCAGTAGTAGCGAGTAGCTACCTACACAGACAAAGATCCCCCGTGTAGCCTCTAACAGACTGTTGGGGCAAGTGCTGTCGGTAGCAGCGAGTAGCTACCTACACAGACAAAGATCTCCCGTGTAGCCTCTAACAGACTGTAGGGGCAAGTGCTGTTAGTAGTAGCTACCTACACAGACAAAGATCCCCCGTGTAGCCTCTAACAGACTGTAGGGGCAAGTGCTGTCAGTAGAAGCGAGTAGCTACCTACACAGACAAAGATCCCCCGTGTAGCCTCTAACAGAGTGTATGGGCAAGTGCTGTCAGTAGTAGCGAGTAGCTACCTACACAGACAAAGATCCCCCGTGTAGCCTCTAACAGGCTGTAGGGGCAAGTGCTGTTAGTAGTAGCTACCTACACAAAGATCCCCCGTGTAACCTCTAACAGACTGTACGGGCAAGTGCTGTCAGTAGTCGCAGCAGCGCCTATGAAGGCTACCGGCACTGTGGCACACACAGAGGGAGTGGGTGGCCAGCACCACCACCACGCCCGGCCGCCTTTGTCTCCCCAGTGGCGATGTTTACTGCTACACAACCGCTACACCAGGTATCTCACTTGAAGCTGGCGCAGTACGTGTGTGCGGTACGGTATGGTGTGGTATGTGTGCGTGTGTACATGTGTACCTGGTGTAGCGGTGTAGTAAACATCGCTAGCACTGGGGAGACAAAGGCGGCCGGGCGTGGTGCTGTCCACCCACCCCCTCGTATGCGTGCCGGCCTTCATAGGGGTTGCTTCTCGCTAAAAGCACTTGCCCCGACAGCCTGTTACAGGCTATACGGGAGATCTTTGTCTTTTTTGTACATGTCTGCGTGTGTGTGTGCCTGCATGTGTGTGCGTGTGTGTGCCTGTGTGTGCGTGTGTGGGCGTGTGTGTGCGTGTGTGGGCGTGTGTGTGCGTGTGGTCCGGCAAAACAACCCCCTACCTCCTCGCGGTGCCGGATGGGCAACTCTGTCGTGGACAGTGCTGTGGGGGGAGATCCAATTTTGATTGGCTCCTCCCCTCATGGCATATGTGTCCACCACAGGGGCTAAACGGGGGCTCTGGACAGGTGCGAGGGGCTGGTAACCCCTCCACCTTCAATTAATTACCACTAAACTACGAATACAAAATTTAACTAATAAGCTTGTGCCGGAGGCCCCGGGGGGACAGGCGTCTATGACGTCTCCTAGCCAAACCCTAATTGGTGGAGCCAGGAGATTGAATCTCCACCCTCGGGGCTCCTCCAGAAACAACGAAAAGCCACTACGGATGGCCACGTGGAATGTTCGAACGCTCACTGCGGAGGAGAGGCCGCCACTCCTCTGTCGGGAGCTGGACCGGTACCGCCTGGATCTCTGTGGCATTCAGGAGGTCCAGTGGACCGGTTTCTGGCTCCTGCCACCATGAGGGGTGGACAGTCCTCTACTCGGGGCAGCAGACTGCCAAACAACAGGGTGTGGCTCTTCTTTTGAACAAAAGAATGAAGGAGGCGTGGGAGCGTGGCGGTGAGGTGTGGGAAGCTGTAAGCCCCAGGCTACTTTGGGCTCGCCTTCCCATCAACCGGAGGAGAGGAGTGGTGGTCGTGGTTACTTATGCCCCCACCGAAGACGAACATCCGTGGAGGGATGCAGGCAAAGCCGATGAGTCAGACGCCTTCTATGACCTCCTGTTACAGGTGCTGGCTAAAGTGGCCCCTTGGGATAGAGTCATCTTGTTGGGTGACTTCAATGCCCGAGTTGTTCATGATGCTGGAACCTGGTCTGGAGTGATTGGAGGGCATGGGCCAGATCAGCTCAATAACAACGGTAGGAGGCTGCTAGATTTTTGTGCAGCCCATGGGCTTGTAATTACCAACACGCTGTTCCGGCATCGGCGCATCCACACAACATCATGGATGCATGCCGGGTCGAAGCAAGAATATCTGCTGGACTACATAGTGACGGACCAGCGGATGCGAGCCCATGTCCTTGACACCAGGACCTACCGTGGAGCTGATCTGCCCTCTGACCATCGACTAGTCATCTGTAAGATGCGCCTGCCATTCTTCCACTCCGGTGGTGGGTGTACACCCAGGACCCCATTCCAACCTAAAGTGGCCTGGTCTCAGTTATCTTATGAAAGGCGCAAGCGAGAATTTCATCATCGCTTGCGGCTGGGGTTGGCATCGTCTCCCCACTCCTTCTGATGTCGAGGGTAACTGGGCGAGGTTTAGGACTGTGACTCATGCAGCTACAATAGCTGCTTTGGGTATGCGGTCCAGACCTCCCCAGAGACCTTGGCTGACAGAGGTGTTCAGGATGGTTGAGAAAAAGCGACAGGCCCACTGTCATCGGCTACAGAATCCCACGTCAGAGAATGAGGAGGCTTACCGCAGCCTTCGCTCGGAGGTTCGGAGAGCCGTGAGGCGCTGCAAGGATGGGTGGTGGTCGCGGGTTGCTGAGGAGATGGAGTCTGCCTCAGTGGCCCGTGATCACAAATCTCTATTTAACTCCATCAAAAAAGTAACCTGCAGCACCACACCTATTACCATCATTAGGGGAAAAAAACGGCGATCCAATCTCCGACCCCCAGGAACAGGTTTGCAGATTTGCTGATCATTTCTGTGAGGTCCTGGGGGAGAGGAAATCCCTCAGCCAGGAAAACATCGTGGCACAAAGTGGGGATGACCCTGCTGAGGCTGCGGTGCCTCAAATATTGGAAGAAGTCACCCCCTGTGAGTGGCTGGCTGAGGTGCCATCTGTTGAGGAAGTACTGAAGGTGATCCGGAGTCTGAGACCAGGAAAGGCACCGGGTAGAGACGATCTCCCAAGCGAAATGCTGAGGGAGGGTGGCGTTTGTGCACAGACTGCCCTATATGACATTATAACAACAGTCTGGACCACTGGACGGGTTCCGCAGGATTGGAAGGATGCCCTGGTGGTCCCCCTCTTTAAGAAGGGAGACCGCACAGATTCTAACAACTACAGGGGCATCTCACTCCTCAGTGTGCCGGGAAAGGTCCTGGCAAGGATTATTCAACATCGCCTTGCCAGGCACGCTGAGGAGAGGCTTGTGGAGTCCCAATGCGGTTTCAGGAAAGGGCGGTCCTGCACAGATGCCATATTTTCTGTCCGTCTGCTACAGCAGAGGTGTAGGGAATTCCAACAAGACTTACATCTCTGCTTCATTGACCTGGTCAAGGCCTATGATACCATCAGTCGGCCTGGGCTCTGGGTTGTTCTTCGTGCTTTTGGAGTCCCTGACTCTCTGCTCACGATCATTAAGGACCTTCATGATGGTGAGCGGGCCCAGGTAAAACTACGTGGCCGGGAGTCAGAGCCATTCCCTGTACACCTTGGGGTGCGACAGGGATGTCCTCTGGCTCCCACATTATTTAACATCTATTTTGACCACGTAGTTCGAGAAGCCTTCAATAGCTGTACTGGGGGAATCTCCATATGGTACAGATATAATGGGAGGCTGATCGATGCCCGGGTGCGGTCAAGGGATGGCTCCCTATTGCTCAACCATGTTATGTATGCCGATGATTTAGTAATAGCTGTTCATTCAGAGGAGGAGTTGGAGACGCTGCTGCTGAGACTGGAGCGTGCCACTAAAACTAAGCACCTGCCTGGGTATTTTGTACCATCGGACACTCCCCCCCCACTACTCCCAATGGGTCATGGGACAGTTGTGGAGAGAGTGGAGAGTTTCCCATACCTGGGCAGTGTGCTCATGACCGGCTCCAGTTTAACAGCAGAGGTCTCACTCAGAATCAGTTGAGTGGCAATATATTTTCATCGGTTGCATAACGCTGTGTGGAAGCTACCTGGTCTGTCACTCCGCACTAAGCTTCAAGTCTTCTCGGCCACGGTCATTCCCTCCCTTCTTTACGCTTGCGAAACATGGACCCCCCTAATGGAACATCTTCGCCGATTAGAAACATTTAGGCTAGCCTGCCTACGATCCATCCTGTGTTTAACCAGACTGGATTGTGTGAGGAGCTCACAAATACTTGAAAGATCTGGGCAAGGTCCTATCGGTGAGCTCCTCCGGCAGGCGAGGCTGCGTTGGCTGGGTCATGTAGCCCGCATGCCCAGCCACCGCATGCCGAAACAGATTTTGTTCGGCCGGATCGAGGGGGCTAAACTGGCGCGGCACGGGCTAGAGAAGAGATGGAGTGATGTGGTACAGGAGGACGTGGAGCTGAGTGGACTTGCCGATGACTGGTACCAGCGGTGTCAAAATCGGCCTCTGTGGAGGAGGCTCGTGAAGGACGCTACTGGGCAGTTGGAGGCAGTCACCCTCCAACAACAACGGAGGGCGGAGGAGCGACGCTCACAACAACGAGCGGAGCGCCGGGTGGCTAAAGCACAGCAGGTTGGCACAGTAGGGGGCACAGGTGGTGCATCAGCCAGTCATCTCAGTCATCTCAGTCAGTCGACCCGTGGCACTTGGGTCTGCCCCGTGACCTCCTGCCAGCGGGCGTTCGACACTTCACGTGGCCTCAAGGTGCACATGGCCTGGCACAAGCGTCGTGGTGACGTCACCGCCACTTAGTGGCGAATGGCGGTTGTTGTTGTTGTGTGTGTGTGTGTACGTGTGTGTGTATCTGTGTATGTATCTGTGTGTGTATGTGGGGAGCGATAGTGTAGCGGTTAGCGCGCTGCGCTATGAACCTGGCGACATGGGTTCGATTCCCGCTCATGACCAACACCAGTGACGATCATCTTAACCGGTCCCGGGCCTCCCCTAGGTCGACTCAGCCTCAAATGAGTACCTGGTGCAGTGTGTAAACATTGCCACTAGGGAGACAAAGGCGGTCGGGCGTGGTGCTGGCCACCCACCCCCTCGTGTACCGTTACTGGCCTTCATAGGTGCTCGCTATGTGCATGCGTGTGCGTGTGTGTGCGTGCCTGTGTGTGTGTGTGTGCGTGCCTGTGTGTACCTGTATGTGTGTGCCTGTGCGTGTCTGTGCGTGTGTACGTGCCTGTGTGTCTGTGCGTGTGTACGTGCCTGTATGTGTGTGCCTGTGCGTGCGTGTGTGTGTGCGTGTGTACGTATGTGTGCGTGCGTGTGCCTGTGCGTGCGTACGTGGGGTACGCACAGTGCGGAGGCGGTGGAGGGCGCGTGCGTGTGTGTGTACATGTGTGCGTGTGCCTTTGTGCGTGCGGGTGCCTGTATGTGCGTGTGTGTACGTGTGTGTGTGCCTGTGTGTGCCTGTGCGTGCCTGTGCGTGCCTGTGTGTGTGTGCGTGTGTGGGGTACGCACAGTGCGGAGGCGGTGGAGGGCGCGTGCGTGATTTGCTGGATGGCGAGGCGCCGCTCGATCTTGTTGTACGTGTTCACGATGGACGACTCCCGGGACGTTGGGTCGCGCAGGAGGAAGCGCTTCAGGTACTGGGTATTGAACTTCTCAAACCTGGGGCCGGTGGCGGGGAGGAGAGACGCAGACGTGGGTGGGTGGGTAAGTGGGTGGGTGGGTGAGTGGGTGGGTGGGTAAGTGGGTGAGTGGGTGGGTGGGTGAGTGGGTGGGTGAGTGGGTGGGTGAGTGGGTGGGTAAGTGGGTGGGTGAGTGGGTGGGTGGGTGAGTGGGTGGGTGAGTGGGTGGGTGGGTGAGTGGGTGGTGAGTGGGTGGGTGGGTGAGTGGGTGGGTGAGTGGGTGGGGTGGGTCGGTGGGTGAGTGGCTGGGTGAGTTGGTGGGTGAGTGGGTGGGTGAGTGGGTGGGTGGGTGAGTGGGTGGGTGGGTGGGTGAGTGGGTGGGTGAGTGGGTGAGTGGGTGGGTGAGTGGGTGAGTGGGTGGGTGGGTGGGTGAGTGGGTGGGTGAGTGGGTAGGTGGCTGAGTGGGTGGGTGAGTGGGTGGGTGAGTGGGTGGGTGAGTGAGTGAGTGGGTGGGTGGGTGGGTGAGTGAGTGAGTGGGTGGGTGGGTGAGTGGGTGGGTGGGTGTGTGGGTGGGTGTGTGGGTGGATGGGTGAGTGGGTGTGGTGGTGGGTTTGTGGGTGTGTGGGTGGGTGTGTTGGTGAGTGGGTGGGTGGGTGAGTGGGTGGGTGGGTGAGTGGGTGGGTGAGCTGGTGAGTGGGTGAGTGGGTGGGTGGGCGGGTGAGTGAGTGGGTGGGTGGGTGGGTGAGTGGGTGGGTGGGTGAGTGGGTGGGTGGGTGAGTGGGTGGGTGTGTGTGTGGGTGGGTGAGTGGGTGGGTGTGTGTGTGGGTGGGTGTGTGTGTGGGTGGGTGAGTGGGTGTGTGGGTGAGTGTGTGTGTGGGTGGGTGGGTGAGTGGGTGTGTGGGTGGGTGAGTGGGTGGGTGTGTGTGTGGGTGGGTGAGTGGGTGTGTGTGTGAGTGTGTGTGTGGGTGGGTGGGTGAGTGGGTGTGTGGGTGGGTGGGTGAGTGGGTGTGTGGGTGAGTTGGTGAGTGGGTGACTGAGTGAGTAGGTGGGTGAGTGACAGAGTGAGTGGGTGGGTGAGTGCGTAGGTGAGTGAGTAGGTGAGTGAGTAGTTGAGTAGATGAGTGAGTTGGTGAGTAGGTGAGTGAGTGAGTAGGTGAGTGAGTAGGTGAGTGAGTAGGTGAGTGGGTGAATAAGTGAGTGAGTAGGTGAGGTGAGTGAGTAGGTGAGTGAGTAGGTGAGTGAATGAGTGAGTCGGTGAGTGAGTAGGTGAGTAGGTGAGTGAGTAGGTGAGTAGGTGAGTGAGAAGGTGAGTATGTGAGTGAGTAGGTGAGTAGGTGAGCGAGTGAGTAGGTGAGTAGGTGAGTGAGTGAGTAGGTGAGTGAGTAGGTGAGTGAATAAGTGAGTGAGTAGGTGAGTAGGATAGTGAGTAGGTGAGTAGGTGACTGAGTAGGTGAGTAGGTGACTGAGTACGTGACTGAGTAGGTGAGTGAGTAGGTGAGTAGGTGAGTGAGTAGGTGAATGAGTAGGTGAGTATGTGAGTGAGTAGGTGAGTGAGTCGGTGAGTAGGTGAGTGAGTAGGTGAGTAGGTGAGTGAACAGGTGAGTAGGTGAGTGAGTAGGTGAGTGAGTAGGTGAGTGGGTGAATAAGTAAGTGAGTGAGTAGGTGAGGTGAGTGAGTAGGTGAGTAGGTGAGTGAGTAGGTGAGTGAATGAGTGAGTGAGTCGGTGAGTGAGTAGGTGAGTAGGTGAGTGAGAAGGTGAGTATGTGAGTGAGTAGGTGAGTAGGTGAGTAGGTGAGCGAGTGAGTAGGTGAGTAGGTGAGTGAGTGAATAGGTGAGTAGGTGAGTGAGTAGGTGAGTAGGTGAGTGAGTGAATAAGTGAGTTAGTAGGTGAGTAGGCGAGTGAGTAGGTGAGTAGGTGACTGAGTAGGTGAGTAGGTGAGTAGGTGACTGAGTAGGTGAGTGAGTAGGTGAGTAGGTGAGTGAGTAGGTGAATGAGTAGGTGAGTATGTGAGTGAGTAGGTGAGTAGGTGAGTGAGTGAATAAGTGAGTTAGTAGGTGAGTAGGCGAGTGAGTAGGTGAGTAGGTGACTGAGTAGGTGAGTAGGTGAGTAGGTGACTGAGTAGGTGAGTGAGTAGGTGAGTAGGTGAGTGAGTAGGTGAATGAGTAGGTGAGTATGTGAGTGAGTAGGTGAGTGAGTCGGTGAGTGAGTAGGTGAGTAGGTGAGTGAACAGGTGAGTAGGTGAGTGAGTAGGTGAGTATGTGAGTAGGTGAGTAAGTGAGTGAGTAGGTGAGTGAGTATGTGAGTCGGTGAGTGAGTAGGTGAGTAGGTGAGTAGGTGAGTGAGTAGGTGAGTGAGTAGGTGAGTGAGTAGGTGAGTAGGTGAGTGAGTATGTGAGTCGGTGAGTGAGTAAGTGAGTCGGTGAGTGAGTAGGTGAGTAGGTGAGTGAGTATGTGAGTAGGTGAGTGAGTAGGTGAGTAGGTGAGTGAGTATGTGAGTGAGTAGGTGAGTAGTTGAGTGAGTAGGTGAGTGAGTAGGTGAGTAGGTGAGTAGGTGAGTGAGTATGTGAGTAGGTGAGTGAGTAGGTGAGTAGGTGAGTGAGTATGTGAGTAGGTGAGTGAGTAGGTGAGTGAGTATGTGAGTAGGTGAGTGAGTAGGTGAGTAGTTGAGTGAGTAGTTGAGTGAGTAGGTGAGTGAGTAGGTGAGTAGGTGAGTGAGTAGGTGAGTAGGAGAGTGAGTATGTGAGTAGGTGAGTGAGTAGGTGAGTAGGTGAGTGAGTATGTGAGTCAGTGAGGTACTTGTCTCTCCAGTGGTGATGGCCATAGTGCCCACAGATGTCCTCAACTCCGGCCAGGATGTGATCCATAAACTGACATCATAAACAACATACACATCATCATCATAATAAACATCATAAACCAACATAAACATCATCATCATAATACACATCATAAACAACATATACATCATCATCATATATACATCATAACACCATTATCACCATCATCATCATAATATACATCATAAACAACATAAACATTATGAGACCTCCTTTGCCAGTAACAAGATATAGTAATAGGTTTTTTCCCTTTTATCTGGCACAAAAACTGACACCTTCATACAAGGGATCATGTTTGCAATAACCACAACACAAGCAGTAAAAAATGGAGACTAGGCTCTAAGAAAAGCCGTCTCGGGTGTGGACCAATCAAATTCAACGACAGTGCCATCATCGTTATCAGAGTTGTTTCTTTGTGTTTGCATTTTTGACTGCTTGCGTTGTGGTTATTGCAAACATGATCCCTTGTATAAAGGTGTCAGTTTTTGTGCCAGCTAAAAGGGTAAAAACCTATTAACATAAACATCATCATCATCATAATACACATCATGAACAACATGATCATCATCAACATCATAATGTGCAACATCGCCATCACCATCATCACACACTGGTGGTGGTGATGGTAGCGGTCCTGATGATGATTGATGGTGTGGTGGGTGGCTGTAGTGGTGGTGGTGGTGGATGTGGTGGCTGTAGTGGTGGTGGATGTGGTGGATGTGTGGATGTGGTGGATGTGGTGGTGGTGGATGTGGTGGTGGTAGATGTGGTGATGGATGTGGTGGTGGATGTGGTGGTGGATGTGGTGGTGGTGGTGGATGTGGTGGTGGTGGATGTGGTGGTGGATGTGGTGGTGGTGGAGGTGGTGGTGGTGGATGTGGTGGAGGTGGTGGTGGTGGTGGATGTGGTAGTGGTGAATGTGGTGGTGGTGGATGTGGTAGTGGTGGATGTGGTGGTGGTGTATGTGGTGGTGGTGGTGGATGTGGTGGTGGATGTGGTGGTGGATGTGGTGGTGGTGGATGTGGTGGTGGTGGATGTGGTGGTGGTGGATGTAGTGGATGTGGTGGTGGTGGATGTAGTGGATGTGGTGGTGGATGTGGTGGTGGTGGATGTGGTGGTGGTGGATGTGGTAGTGGTGAATGTGGTGGTGGTGGATGTGGTGGTGGATGTGGTGGTGGTGGAGGTGGTGGTGGTGGTGGATGTGGTGGATGTGGTGGATGTGGTGGTGGTGGATGTGGTGGTGAATGTTGGTGGTGAATGTTGGTGGTGGATGTGGTGGTGGTGGATGTGGTGGTGGATGTTGGTGGTGGTGGTGGTGGTGGTGGATGTGGTGGATGTGGATGTGGTGGATGTGGTGGTGGTGGTGGATGTGGTGGTGGTGGATGTGGTGGTGGTGGATGTGGTGGATGTGGTGGTGGTGGATGTGGTGGTGGTGGATGTGGTGGTGGATGTGGTGGTGGTGGATGTGGTGGTGGATGTGGTGGTGGTGGATGTGGTGGATGTGGTGGTGGATGTGGTGGATATGATGTGGTGGTGGATGTGGTGGATATGGTGGTGGTGGTGGATGTGGTGGTGGATGTGGAGGTGGTGGATGTGTGGTGGTGTGGTGGATGTGGTGGTGGTGGATGTGGTGGTGGATGTGGAGGTGGTGGATGTGGTGGTGGATGTGGTGGATGTGGTGGATGTGGTGGTGGTGGATGTGGTGATGGTGGATGTGGTGGTGGACAATGTCGTCACCCGGATGTTGGTCTCCTCCGTGATGCTAGGATCGTGCTCCTTCTTCTTCTTGATCTCCAGCAGCTCCACCAGCGGACGGATTGTCATCCCCTGCACCCACCCACACACACAGTCACACACACAGTCACACACACACAGTCACACACACACAGTCACACACACACAGTCACACACACACAGTCACACACACAGTCACACACACACAGTCACACACACAGTCACACACAGTTATCCACACAGTCACACACACAGTCACACACACAGTCAACCACACACACAGTCACACACAGTCACACACACAGTCACACACACAGTCACACACAGTCACACACACAGTCAACCACACACACAGTCACACACAACAACAACAACCGCCATTCGCCACTAAGTGGTGGTGACGTCACCACGACGCTTGTGCCAGGCCATGTGCACCGAGGGCCACGTGAAGTGTCGAACGCCCGCTGGCAGGAGGTCACGGAGCAGACCAGGTGCCACGGGTCGACTGACTGAGATGACTGGCTGATGCACCACCTGTACCCCCTACTGTGCCAACCTGCTGTGCTTTAGCCACCCGGCGCTCCGCTCGTTTGTTGTGAGCGTCGCTCCTCCGCCCTCCGTTGTTGTTGGAGGGCGACTACCTCCAACTGCCCAGTAGCATCCTTCACGAGCCTCCTCCACAGAGGTCGATCTTGACACCGCTGGTACCAGTCATCGGCAAGTCCACTCAGCTCCACGTCCTCCAGTACCACATCACTCCATCTCTTCTCTAGCCCGTGCCGCGCCCGCTTAGCCCCCTCAATCCGGCCGAACAAAAGCTGTTTCGGCATGCGTTGGCTGGGCATGCGGGCTACATGACCCAGCCATCGCAGCCTTGCCCGCCAGAGGAGCTCACCGATGGGACCTTGCCCAGATCTTTCAAGGATTTGTGAGCTCCTCACACAATCCAGTCCGGTTAAACCCAGGATGGATCGTAGGCAGGCCAGCCTAATGTTTCTAACCGGCGAAGATGTTCCATTAGGGGGGTCCACGTTTCGCAAGCATAGAGAAGGGAGGGAATGACCGTGGCTGAGAAGACCTGAAGCTTAGTGCGGAGCGACAGACCAGGTAGCTTCCACACAGCGTTACGCAACCGATGAAAAGATATTGCCGCTCGGACTGATTCGGAGTGAGACCTTTGCTGTTAAACTGGAGCCAGTCATAAGCACACTACCCAGGTATGGGAAACTCTCCACTCTCTCCACAACTGCCCCATCACTGATTGGGAGTTGTGGGGGTGGAGTGTCCGATGGTACAAAATACCCAGGCAGGTGCTTAGTTTTGGTGGGGCTGATGGTAAGGCCCCACCTCTTAGTGGCACGCTCCAGTCTCAGCAGCAGCGTCTCCAACTCCTCCTCTGACTGAGCAGCTATTACCAAACCATCAGCATACATAACGTGGTTGACCAATAGGGAGCCATCCCTTGACCGCACCCGGGCATCGATCAGCCTCCCATTATATCTGTACCATATGGAGATTCCCGCGGTACAGCTATTGAAGGCTTCACGAACTACGTGGGCAAAATAGATGTTAAATAATGTGGGAGCTAGAGGACATCCCTGTCGTACCCCAAGGTGTACAGGGAATGGCTCTGACTCCGGCCACGTAGTTTTACCCGGGCCCGCTCACCATAATGAAGATCCTTAATGATCGTGAGCAGAGGGTCAGGTACTCCAAAAGCACGAAGAACGACCCAGAGCCCAGGCCTACTGATGGTATCATAGGCCTTGACCAGGTCAATAAAGCAGAGATGTAGGTCTTGTTGGAATTCCCTACACCTCTGCTGTAGCAGACGGACAGAAAATATGGCATCTGTGCAGGACCGCCCTTTCCTGAAACCACATTGGGGCTCCGCAAGCCTCTCCTCAGCGTGCCTGGCAAGGCGATGCTGAATAATCCTTGCCAGGACCTTTCCCGGCACACTGAGGAGTGAGATGCCCCTGTAGTTGTTACAATCTGTGCGGTCCCCCTTCTTAAAAAGGGGGGACCACCAGGGCATCCTTCCAATCCTGCGGAACCCGTCCAGTGGTCCAGACTGTTGTTATGATGTCATATAGGGCAGTCTGTGCACAAACGCCACCCTCCCTCAGCATTTCGCTTGGGAGATCATCTCTGCCCGCTGCCTTTCCTGGTCTCAGACTCCGGATCACCCTCAATACTTCCTCAGCAGATGGCACCTCAGCCAGCCACTCACAAGGGGTGACTTCTTCCCAATATTTGAGGCACAGTCACACACACACAGTCACACCACACACACAGTCACCCACACACAGTCACACACACAGTCACCCACACACACACACAGTCACACAGTCACACACACAGTCACCCACACACCCACAGTCACTCACACACCCACACACACATCGACAGTCACACACACCCACACAGTCACCCCCTGCACCCACCCACACACACACATCCCACAGTCCCCCCTGCACCCACCCACACACACACACAGTCACCCACACACACACACAGTCACCCACACACCCACACACACCCACCCACACACACCCACCCACACACAGTCACCCACACACATCCACACACACACCCACACACACAGTCACCCCTTGCACCCACCCACACACACCCACAGTCACCCACCCACACACCCACAGTCACCCACACACAGAGTCACCCCCTGCACCCACCCACACACACACCCACACACCCACACACAGTCACCCACACACCCACACACAGTCACCCACACACCCACAGTAACCTACACACACACCCACACACAGTCACCCACACACCCAGTCATCCCCTGCACCCACCCACCCACACACCCACGCACCCACCCACCCACACACCCACCCACACACAGTCACCCACACACCCACCCACCCACACACAGTCACCCACACACCCACACACAGTCACCCACACACCACACACAGTCACCCACACACCTACACACCCACACACAGTCACCCACACACAGTCACCCACACACCCACACAGTCACCCACACACCCACACAAGTCACCACACAGTCACCCACACACAGTCACCACACACCCACACACCCACAGTCATCCCCTGCACCCACCCACCCACACACCACACACAGTCACCTACACAGTCACCCACACACCCAAGTCACCCACACACCACAGTCACCCACACAGTCACGCCCTGCACCCACCCACGGTCACCACCCACACACCCACACCCACAGTCACCCACACACCCACCACAGAGTCACCCCCTGCACCCACCCACACACACACCCACACACAGTCACCCACACACCCACACACAGTCACCCACACACCCACACAGTCACCCACACACCCACACACAGTCACGCACACACCCACACAAACCCACACACCCACACACCCACAATCACCCACACACAGTCACCCCCTGCACCCACCCACAGTCACCCACCCACCCATACACCACAGTCACCCACAGTCACCCACCCACCCACCCACACACCCACACACACACCCACAGTCACCCACACACACACACAGTCACCCCCTGCACCCACCCACACACACACCCACACCACCCCCTGCACACCCACACACACACACTGTCACCCACACAGTCACCCTCCTGCACCTATCCACACACACCCACAGTCACACACACACACAGTCACCCCCTGCACCCACCCACACACACACACACAGTCACACACACACACACAGTCACCCACCCACACACACACCCACACCCTGCACACCCACCCACACACACACCGACACACACACCCACAGACACAGTCACCCACACACACACAGTCACCCCCTGCACACCCACCCACCTACCCACCAGGATCCGGTCCACGGGACCTCTGTATTCCACAGGGGTCCCGGCGGCACCGGTCCAGCTCCTGACGGCAGAACGGGTAGCCTCTCATCCACGATGAACATTCGCAGCAGGAGGAGGCACGGGGGGTGGGCAAAATCGACCACCGCTCACTCACCTCACCCCCCCTTCATCCCTCACCACCGCTCACTCCTCACCGCCTTCCTCACCACCACTCACTCCTCACCCCCCTTCATCCCTCACCACCGCTCACTCCTCACCGCCGTCCTCACCACCACTCACTCCTCACCCCCCTTCATCCCTCACCACCGCTCACTCCTCACCGCCTTCCTTACCACCACTCACTCCTTACCCCCCTTCCTTCCTCACCACCGCTCACTCACCTCACCCCCCTTCATCCCTCACCACACTCACATCCTCACCCCCCTTCATCCGTCACCACCGCTCACTCCTCACCGCCTTCCTCACCACCGCTCACTCCTCACCGCCTTCCTTACCACCACTCACTCCTTACCCCCCTTCCTTCCTCACCACCGCTCACTCACCTCACCTCCCTTCATCCCTCACCACCACTCACTCCTCACCCCCTTCATCCGTCACCACTGCTCACTTCCTCACCGCCTTCCTCACCACCGCTCACTCCTCACCCCCCTTCATTCCTCACCACCACTCACTCCTCACCGCCTTCCTCACCACCGCTCACATCCTCACCCCCCTTCATCCCTCACCACCACTCACTCCTCACCCCCCTTCATCCCTCCCCACCGCTCACTCCTCACCTGCACGAAGACGGTGAAGAGGATGACGACGATGGTGGCCGTGATGAAGAGCTTCTTGCGGGGGAAGTGGGCGCTGTCGAGGAGGAAGACGAGCGAGGAAGCAGATGGCACCGCGCAGGCCCCCGTAGGCGATGATGAACTGATCCTTCTTCGTCAGCGTCACCATGCGGAACTTGTTGATGACGAACGTGAGCAGGAACACCCCTGCGTGGCGTGTGCGGATTGTGTGTGGCGTGCGGTGTGTGTGCGGTGTGTGTGTGGCGTGTGCACGGTGTGTGTGCGGTGTGTGTGTGCAGTGTGTGTGTGTGTGGTGTGTGTGCAGTGTGTGTGTGTGCAGTGTGTGTGTGTGCAGTGTGTGTGTGGTGTACGGTGTGTACGGTGTGTGTGTGTGTGCGTGCGGTGTGTGTGCGGCGTGTGTGTGGCGTGTGCACGGTGTGTGTGCGGTGTGTGTGTATGTGCGGTGTGTGTGTGGTGTGTGTGCAGTGTGTGTGTGTATGCAGTGGTGTGTGTGTGCAGTGTGTGTGTGTGTATGCAGTGTGTGTGTGTGTATGCAGTGTGTGTGTGTGCAGTGTGTGTACGGTGTGTGTACGGTGTGTGTGTGTGTACGGTGTGTGTGTGGTGTGTGTGTGTGCGGTGTGTGTGTGTGTACGGTGTGTGTGCGGCGTGTGCGGAGTGTGTGTGCACGGTGTGTGTGTGTGCGGTGTGTGTGTGCGGTGTGTGTGTATGTGCGGTGTGTGTGTGTGCAGTGTGTGTGTGTGTATGTGCGTGTGTGTGCGGCGTGTGTGCGTGTGTGTGCGGCGTGTGTGTGTGCAGTGTGTGTGCGGCGTGTGTGTGTGCAGTGTGTGTGCGGGGTGTGTGTGTGTGCGGTGTGTGTGTGTGTACGGTGTGTGTGTGTGTGCGGTGTGTGTGCGGCGTGTGTGCGGCGTGTGGTGCGGCGTGTGTGCGCATGTGTGTGCGGTATGTGCATGCGTGTGTTGGTGTGCGTGTGTGTGTGTGTTCGTGTGTGCGTTCGTGTGTGCGTTCGTGTGTGCGACGTGTGACGTGTGTGCGGCGTGTGTGTGCGGCGTGTGTGTGCGTGCGTGCGCGTGGTGTGTAGAGACACACCACGGTGGAGAGAGAGTGAGAGAGACATCCACCTTGTCCCTCCCTTACCACCGCTGTGTCTCACTCATCCCTTGCGCTCCGCTCGTTGTTGTGAGCGTGGCTCCTCTGCCCTCCAACTGCCCAGTAGCCTCACGGTGCACCTAGCCTGGCACTGCCCAGTAGCCTCACGGTGCACCTAGCCTGGCACTGCCCAGTAGCCTCACGGTGCACCTAGCCTGGCACTGCCCAGTAGCAGCGTCCTTCACGAGCCTCCTCCACAGAGGCTGATCTTGACACCGCTGTTAGCAGTCATCAGCAAGTCTACTCAGCTCCACGTCCTCCCCCCACAATCCCCACCCACCATCACCCCACCCACTATCCCCACCCACCCACCATCACCCCACCCACTATCCCCACCCACCCACAATTACCCCACCCACTCTCGCCACCCACCTCACCAACCATCACCCCACCCACAATCCTCACCAAACCACCATCACCCCCACCCACCCCCCCCACTCCCCCCCCCCCCACAGCTACCCGTGGCCCTCCAGACGAGGCAGAAGAGGAGCGTGGCGCACACGAAGGCCCAGTTCCACTCGTGCTGATCGTCCACCGTGGACACGCCCAGGAAGATGAAGATGAGCGTCTCGCTCACGCTGCTCAGCATCTTCATGAAGTACTTGATGGTCACGGCGGACTTCTCCGACACGTTCGCCTCCACGTAGCGCTTCATGCACATGGCGCACGCTATCAGCCTGTAGGGCACAGAGAGAGATGCGCATGGTGCACGCCACTCACACTGCCTCTACTCTTACCATACCCCTATCAACCTATCATACTGGTAAAAGACATAAATAAAAATTGGTTTTCTGTATCGACACAAGCACTGCTTCCCCCAATGTTCCGTTTGGAATTGATAAAAAGCTACCATACTGCCTCTACTTGACTACTGTGACATCGTGTATAAATCAGCCCCAAGTACTGTACTGAAGAAGCATGATTCCATCTATCACTCGGCCTGAAGATTTGCATTGAACTGCCCATATAGGACTCACCACTGTGATCTCTACATTGGGTCAAACTTAACATCTCTTAATGTTCGACGGCTTGTGCACCAGATCTTATTTATTCACGATGTACGTACAAAAAATCCGCAGACTACCTGTTGGATCTCCTCTCTGTTTCAAAGAACAAATGTGACCTCAGGTCTTCGCTCATTTACCAGCTTCACATTCCCTATTGCCGTACAAAAACCGGAGGAAGGGCCTTTGCTATTGATACCCCAGGGTCTGGAATGCTATTGCCAATAACTGCAACTTGAATCACTACCAATGAGATCTTCACTCAAAACTGCTCTAGAGGAGTTGTACACCCTAGCTGCCACTGCTATTCAGTGCCTAAAATATGGCTCTAGGGTTTGGTGTTACATGTTATTTATGTTGTTTATTGTTAAAAATTCAGTCACAGTCCCTATGATCACTGTTACATTGCATTTATGGCTTTTATTTTGGTGATTCGAAAACGTTTTTTTTGGTTTGGCCATGTTTTTGTTTATTGTCGTACGGAGTTAGACTGATGGCCTTAATCTTAGTTGTCTTGTGGTTGTTGTTGTTTCACTTGCATCCCGCTGGGATTTTTGCACACAGCGGTGGTGTACGGTGCTATTTCAGGAATATTTTGATGTTTTTTTTCCTGGATTTTCTGTTTGCACAGTCACATAAAGTCACTTTAAGATGTTTTCTTGTTCATGTTTTTTTGTTTGTTGCGGTTGCACCCGATTCAAGAGCCAAATGGCTCACAGGGCTATACCAAATAAATGAAACTATGGAACTATGGAAACACACTGCCCATACCCCTACCACTTACACTGCCTCTACCACCCTACCCCTACCACTCACACTACCCCTACCACTCACAGTGCCTCTACCAGCCTACCCCTACCACTCACACTACCCCTACCACTCACACTACTCCTACCACTCACACTACCCCTACCACTCACACTACCCCTACCACTCACACTACCCCTACCACTCACACTACCCCTACCACTCACACGACCCCTACCACTCACACTACCCCTACCACTCACACTGCCCTTACCACTCACACTATCCCTACCACTCACACTCACACTACCCCTACCACTCACACTGCCTCTACCACTCGCACTACCCCTACCACTCGCACTACCCCTACCCACTCGCACTACCCCTACCACTCGCACTACCCCTACCACTCGCACTACCCCTACCACTCGCACTACCCCTACCACTCGCACTACCCCTACCACTCGCACTACCCCTACCACTCGCACTACACCTACCCACTCACACTACCCCTACCACTCACACTACCCCTACCACTCACACTACCCCTACCACTCACACTACCCCTACCACTCACACTACCCCTACACTCACACTACCCCTACCACTCACACTACCCCTACCACTCGCACTACCCCTACCACTCGCACTACCCCTACCACTCGCACTACCCCTACCACTCGCACTACCCCTACCACTCGCACTACCCCTACCACTCGCACTACCCCTACCACTCACACTACCCCTACCACTCACACTACCCCTACCACTCACACTACCCCTACCACTCACACTACCCCTACCACTCACACTACCCCTACCACTCACACTACCCCTACCACTCACACTACCCCTACCACTCACACTACCCCTACCACTCGCACTACCCCTACCACTCGCACTACCCCTACCACTCGCACTACCCTACCACTCACACTACCCCTACCACTCACACTACCCCTACCACTCACACTACCCCTACCACTCACACTACCCCTACCACTCGCACTACCCCTACCACTCGCACTACCCCTACCACTCGCACTACCCCTACCACTCGCACTACCCCTACCACTCACACTACCCCTACCACTCACACTACCCCTACCACTCACACTACCCCTACCACTCACACTACCCCTACCACTCACACTACCCCTACCACTCACACTACCCCTACCACTCCACACTACCCCTACCACTCACACTACCCCTACCACTCACACTACCCCTACCACTCACACTACCCCTACCACTCACACTGCCTCTACAACCCTACCCCTACCACTCACACTACCCCTACCACTCACACTACCCCTACCACTCACACTGCCCTTACCACTCACACTATCCCTACCACTCACACTCACACTACCCCTACCACTCACACTGCCTCTACCACTCACACTACCCCTACCACTCACACTACCCCTACCACTCGCACTACCCCTACCACTCGCACTACCCCTACCACTCGCACTAACCCCTACCACTCGCACTACCCCTACCACTCACACTACACCTACCACTCACACTACCCCTACCACTCACACTACCCCTACCACTCACACTACCCCTACCACTCACACTACCCCTACCACTCACACTACCCCTACCACTCACACTACCCTACCACTCACACTACCCCTACCACTCGCACTACCCCTACCACTCGCACTACCCCTACCACTCGCACTACCCCTACCACTCGCACTACCCCTACCACTCGCACTACCCCTACCACTCGCACTACCCCTACCACTCACACTACCCCTACCACTCACACTACCCTACCACTCACACTACCCCTACCACTCACACTACCCCTACCACTCACACTACCCCTACCACTCACACTACCCCTACCACTCGCACTACCCCTACCACTCGCACTACCCCTACCACTCGCACTACCCCTACCACTCGCACTACCCCTACCACTCGCACTACCCCTACCACTCGCACTACCCCTACCACTCGCACTACCCCTACCACTCACACTACCCCTACCACTCGCACTACCCCTACCACTCGCACTACCCCTACCACTCGCACTACCCCTACCACTCGCACTACCCCTACCACTCGCACTACCCCTACCACTCGCACTACCCCTACCACTCACACTACCCCTACCACTCACACTACCCCTACCACTCACACTACCCCTACCACTCACACTACCCCTACCACTCACACTACCCCTACCACTCCACACTACCCCTACCACTCACACTACCCCTACCACTCACACTACCCCTACCACTCACACTACCCCTACCACTCACACTGCCTCTACAACCCTACCCCTACCACTCACACTACCCCTACCACTCACACTACCCCTACCACTCGCACTACCCCTACCACTCACACTACCCCTACCACTCACACTACCCCTACCACTCACACTACCCCTACCACTCACACTACCCCTACCACTCACACTACCCCTACCACTCCACACTACCCCTACCACTCACACTACCCCCACCACTCACCCTACCACCCACCACACTCACGCCATGATCCCCGACAGGTGGAACATCTCGGCGGTGATGTAGGAGGCGTAGCTGTAGAGGAAGACGAAGAGCGGCTCGATGACGCGGATGTGCGCGGTGAAGCGCGTGTTGAGGGCGGCCAGCAGGCCGTAGACCACGCCCACGGCGATGCCGCCCAGCCCCACCACGAAGAACTTGGCCACGCCCAGGGCAAAGTCGCTCGCCGAGATCACCGCCATGGCGCAGAGGGCCGCGTACAGCTGGTAGAGCACCTGGCGGCAGTGACGGCGGCGGTGGGGAGAGGGAGGGGAGAGTGGGGAGAGTGAGTGGGGAGAGAGTGGGGAGGGTGGGGAGAGAGTGGGGAGAGGGGGGGAGAGAGTGGGGAGAGAGTGGGGAGAGTGTGGGGAGAGTGAGTGGGGAGAGTGGGGAGAGTGAGTGGGGAGAGTGAGTGGGGAGAGAGTGGGGAGGGTGGGGAGAGAGTGGGGAGAGAGTGGGGAGAGAGTGGGGAGAGAGTGGGGAGGGTGAGTGGGGAGTGAGTGGGGAGAGAGAGGGGAGAGAGTGGGGAGAGTGTGGAGAGAGAGTGGGGAGTGAGTGGGGAGAGTGAGTGGGGAGTGAGTGGGGAGAGTGAGTGGGGAGAGAGTGGGGTGAGAGAGTGGGGAGAGTGAGTGGGGAGTGAGTGGGGAGAGAGTGGGGAGAGAGTGGGGAGAGTGGGGAGAGGGTGGGGAGAGTGAGTGGGGAGAGTGAGTGGAGAGTGAGTGGGGAGTGAGTGGGGAGTGAGTGGAGAGAGAGTGGGGAGAGGGTGGGGAGAGAATGGGGGAGAGGGTGGGGAGAGAGTGGGGAGAGGGTGGGGAGAGTGAGTGGGGGGAGTGAGTGGAGAGTGAGTGGGGAGTGAGTGGGGAGTGAGTGGGGAGTGAGTGGGGAGTGAGTGGGGAGTGAGTGGGGAGAGGGTGGGGAGAGGGTGGGGGAGAGAGTGGGGAGAGGGTGGGGAGAGTGAGTGGGGGAGAGAGTGGGGAGAGGGTGGGGAGGGGTGAGTGGGGAAAGTGAGGGGGGAGAGAGTGGGGAGAGAGAGTGGGGAGAGTGAGTGGGGAGTGATGTGGGGAGAGAGAGGGGAGAGAGTGGGGAGAGTGTGGAGAGAGAGTGGGGAGTGAGTGGGGAGAGAGTGGGGAGGGTGGGGAGAGAGTGGGGAGGGTGGGGAGAGAGTGAGTGGGGAGAGAGTGGGGAGGGTGGGGAGAGAGTGGGGAGAGAGTGGGGGAGAGTGAGTGGGGAGTGAGTGGGGAGAGAGGGGGAGAGAGTGGGGAGAGTGTGGAGAGAGAGTGGGGAGAGAGTGGGGAGGGTGGGGAGAGTGAGTGGGAGTGAGTGGGGAGAGAGAGGGGAGAGAGTGGGGAGAGAGTGGGGGAGAGTGTGGAGAGAGAGTGGGGAGTGAGTGGGGGAGAGTGAGTGGGGAGAGAGGTGGGGAGGGTGGGGAGAGAGTGGGGAGGGTGGGGAGAGAGTGGGGAGAGAGTGGGGAGAGTGAGGTGGGGAGTGAGTGGGGAGAGAGAGGGGGAGGAGTGGGGAGAGTGTGGAGAGAGAGTGGGGGACGTGACGTGGGGAGAGAGTGGGGAGGGTGGGGAGAGTGAGTGGGGAGTGAGTGGGAGAGAGAGGGGAGAGAGTGGGGAGAGAGTGGGGAGAGTGTGGAGAGAGAGTGGGGAGTGAGTGGGGAGAGTGAGTGGGGAGAGAGTGGGGAGGGTGGGGAGAGAGTGGGGAGGGTGGGGAGAGAGTGGGGAGAGAGTGGGGAGAGTGAGTGGGGAGTGAGTGAGTGAGAGAGAGGGGAGAGAGTGGGGAGAGTGTGGAGAGAGAGTGGGGAGTGATGTGGGGAGAGGGAGTGGGGAGAGGGTGGGGAGAGGGTGGGGAGAGTGAGTGGGGAGAGTGGGGAGAGTGAGTGGGGAGAGAGTGGGGAGATGGGTGGGAGGGTGAGTGGGGAGAGTGAGTGGGGAGAGGTGGGGAGAGAGTGGGAGAGGTGGGAGAGGGTGGGGAGACGGAGTGGGGAGAGAGTGGGGAGAGGGTGGGGAGGGTGAGGGGGAGAGTGAGTGGGGAGATAGTGGGAAGAGAGTGGGAGTGAGTGGGGATGAGAGTGGGAGAGAGTGGGGAGAGGGTGGGGAGAGTGAGTGGGGAATGAGTGGGAGAGGGTGGGGAGAGAGTGGGGAGAGGGTGGGGAGAGAGTGGGGAGAGAGTGGGGAGAGTGAGTGGAGAGAGAGTGGGAGAGGGTGGGAGAGGGTGGGAGAGGGGGGAGAGGGTGGGGAGAGTGGGTGGGGAGACGTGGGTGGGAGAGGGTGGGGAGAGTGAGTGGGAATGAGTGGGGAGAGGGTGGGGAGAGAGTGGGAGAGGGTGGGGAGAGAGTGGGGAGAGAGTGGGGAGAGTGAGTGGAGAGAGAGTGGGGAGGAGGGGGGGAGAGGGTGGGGAGAGGGTGGGGAGAGGGTGGGGAGAGTGAGTGGGGAGAGGGTGGGGACAGTGAGTGGGGAGAGAGTGGGGAGAGAGTGGGGAGAGAGTGGGGAAGAGAGTGGGGAGTGAGTGGGGAGAGGGTGGGGAGAGAGTGGGGGGAGAGTGGGAGAGAGTGGGGAGAGAGTGGGGAGAGGGTGGGGAGAGAGTGGGGAGAGAGTGGGGAGACGTGAGTGGAGAGAGAGTGGGGAGAGGGTGGGGAGAGGGTGGGGAGAGGGTGGGGGAGAGGGTGGGGAGAGGGTGGGGAGAGGTGGGGAGAGTGAGTGGGGAGAGGGTGGGAGAGAGTGGGAGTGAGAGTGAGGAGTGAGAGTGGGGAGAGAGTGGGGAGAGGGTGGGGAGAGTGAGTGGGGAGAGAGTGGGGAGTGAGTGGGGAGAGGGTGGGGACAGAGTGGGGGAGAGTGGGGAGAGAGTGGGGAGAGAGTGGGGAGAGGGTGGGGAGAGAGTGGGGAGAGGGTGGGGAGAGAGTGGGGAGAGAGTGGGGAGAGGTGAGTGGAGAGAGAGTGGGGAGAGGGTGGGGAGAGGGTGGGGAGAAGGGTGGGGGAGAGGGTGGGAGAGGGTGGGAGAGGGTGGGGAGAGTGGGGAGAGTGAGTGGGGAGAGTGAGTGGGGAGAGGGTGGGGAGAGAGTGGGGAGAGAGTGGGGAGAGTGAGTGGGGAGAGAGTGGGGAGAGTGAGTGGGGAGTGAGTGGGGGAGAGGGTGGGGAGAGCGTGGGGAGTGAGAGTGGGGAGAGGGTGGGGAGAGGGTGTGGAGAGAGAGTGGGGAGTGAGTGGGGAGAGAGTGGGGAGAGGGTGGGGAGAGGGTGGGGAGAGTGAGTGGGGAGAGTGGGGAGAGTGAGTGGGTGAGAGAGTGGTGGAGAGAGTGGGGAAGTGAGTGGGAGAGGGTGGGGAGAGTAGTGGGGAGAGAGTGGGGAGAGAGTGGGGAGAGGGGTGGGAGAGTGAGTGGGGAGAGAGTGGGGAGAGGGTGGGGAGGGTGAGTGGGGAGAGTGAGTGGGGAGAGAGTGGGGAGAGAGTGGGGAGTGAGTGGGGAGAGAGTGGGGAGAGAGTGGGGAGAGAGTGGGGAGAGGGTGGGGAGAGTGAGTGGGGAGAGTGAGTGGGGAGCGAGTGTGGGGTGAGTGTGGGGAGTGAGTGGGGAGTGAGTGTGGGGAGTGAGTGGGGAGTGAGTATGGGGTGAGAGTGGGGAGTGAGTGGGGAGAGTGAGTGGGGAGAGTGGGGAGAGAGTGGGGGAGAGGGTGGGGAGGGTGGGGGAGAGGGTGGGGAGGGTGGGGGAGAGGGTGGGAGGGTGGGGGAGAGGGTGGGGAGGGTGGGGGGAGAGGGTGGGGAGGGTGGGGGGAGAGGGTGGGGAGGGTGGGGGGAGAGGGTGGGGAGGGTGGGGGAGAGGGTGGGGAGGGTGGGGAGAGAGGGTGGGGAGAGGTGGGGGGAGAGGGTGGGGAGGGTGGGGGAGAGGGTGGGGAGGGTGGGGGAGAGGGTGGGGAGGGTGGTGGTGGGAGAGGGTGGGGAGGGTGGGGGAGAGGGTGGGAGAGGGTGGGGGGAGAGGGTGGGGAGGGTGGGGGGAGAGGGTGGGGAGGGTGGGGGAGGGGTGGGGAGGGTGGGGGAGAGGGTGGGGAGGGTGGGGGAGAGGGTGGGAGGGTGGGAGAGGGGAGAGGGTGGGGAGGGGTGGGGGAGAGGGTGGGGAGGGTGGGGGGGAGAGGGTGGGGAGGGTGGGGGGAGAGGGTGGGGAGAGAGTGGGGAGTGAGAGTGGAGGAGTGAGAGTGGGGAGAGAGTGGGGAGAGGGTGGGGAGAGTGAGTGGGGAGAGAGTGGGGAGTGAGTGGGGAGAGGGTGGGGACAGAGTGGGGGGAGGGTGGGGAGAGTGAGTGGGGAGAGAGTGGGGAGAGGGTGGGGAGAGAGTGGGGAGAGAGTGGGGAGTGAGTGGGGAGAGAGTGGGGAGAGAGTGGGGAGAGAGTGGGGAGAGGGTGGGGAGAGTGAGTGGGGAGAGTGAGTGGGGAGCGAGTGGAGAGAGAGTGGGGAGAGTGAGTGTGGGCAGTGAGTGGGGAGTGAGTGGAGAGAGAGTGGGGAGAGTGAGTGGGGAGTGAGTGTGGGGAGTGAGTGGGGAGTGAGTGGGGAGAGTGGGGAGAGGGTGGGGAGAGTGAGTGGGGAGAGTGGGGAGAGAGTGGAGAGAGAGTGGGGAGAGGGTGGGGAGAGGGTGGGGAGAGTGAGTGGGGAATGAGTGGGGAGAGGGTGGGGAGAGAGTGGGGAGAGGGTGGGGAGAGTGGGAGAGAGTGGGGAGGAGTGAGTGGAGAGAGAGTGGGGAGAGGGTGGGGAGAGGGTGGGGAGAGGGTGGGGAGAGGATGGGGAGAGTGAGTGGGGACAGTGAGTGGGGAGAGTGAGTGGGGAGAGAGTGGGAGAGAGTGAGTGGGGTGAGTGAGTGGGGAGAGTGAGTGGGGAGAGTGAGTGGGGAGAGTGAGTAGGGAGTGAGTGGGGAGTGAGAGTGGGGAGTGAGTGGGGAGAGGGTGGGGAGAGAGTGGGGAGAGAGAGTGGGGAGAGTGAGGAGAGTGAGTGGGGAGAGTGAGTGGGGAGAGTGAGTGGGAGAGTGAGTGGGGAGAGTGTGGGGAGAGAGTCGGGAGAGTGAGTAGGGAGAGAGAGAGTGGGGAGAGTGAGGAGAGTGAGTGGGGAGAGCGAGTGGGGAGAGCGAGTGGGAGAGTGAGTGGGGAGAGTGAGTGGGGAGAGTGAAGTGGGGAGAGTGAGTGGGGAGAGTGAGTGGGGAGGAGTGAGTGGGGAGAGTAAGTGGGGAGAGAGTCGGGAGAGTGAGTAGGGAGTGAGTGGGGAGACTGTGAGTGGGGAGAGTGAGTGGGGAGAGTGAGTGGGGAGAGAGTCGGGAGAGTTGAGTAGGGAGTGAGTGGGGAGTGAGAGTGGGGAGTGAGTGGGGAGAGGGTGGGGAGCGAGTGGGAGAGAGAGTGGGGAGAGTGAGGAGAGTGAGTGGGGAGAGTGAGTGGGGAGAGTGAGTGGGGAGAGTGAGTGGGGAGAGTGAGTGGGGAGAGTGAGTGGGGTAGAGTGAGTGGGGAGAGTGAGTGGGGAGAGAGTCGGGAGGAGTGAGTAGGGAGAGAGAGTGGGCGAGAGTGAGGAGAGTGAGTGGGGCGAGCGAGTGGGGAGAGTGAGTGGGGAGAGTGAGTGGGTGAGAGTGAGTGGGAGAGTGAGTGGGGAGAGTGAGTGGGGAGAGTGAGTGGGAGAGAGTGAGTGGGGAGAGTAAGTGGGGAGAGAGTCGGGAGAGTGAGTAGGGAGTGAGTGGGGAGAGTGCGTAGGGAGAGAGTGAGTGGGGAGGAGTGAGTGGGGAGAGTAAGTGGGGAGGAGAGTCGGGAGAGTGAGTAGGGAGTGAGTGGGGAGAGTGAGTAGGGAGGAGAGTGGGGAGTGAGAGTGGAGAGCGATCGGACGTGGGGAGCACCGGGCACTCACCACGGTGACAGCGTCGTTGAGCAGCGACTCCCCGAACACGAGGATGTAGAGCTGCTCATTGACGTGGATCTCCTCGAACACAGCCAGCACCGCCACCGGGTCCACGGCGGAGATGAGGCGCCGAACAGCAGATTCTGGAGCAGGGACACGTCGGCCAGGCCAAACGCCGGGACCCTGGGGGGGAGACACACGGGGAGACACACGGGGAGACACGGGGGGGGGGGGGGGGGGGGAGACACATGGGGAGACACGGGGGGTGACACGGGGGGGAGGGGGGGGGGGGAGACACATGGGGAGACACGGGGGGGGGGAGACACACGGGGAGACACGGGGGGTGACACGGGGGGGAGGGGGGGGGGGAGACACATGGGGAGACACGGGGGGGGGGAGACACACGGGAGACACACGGGGAGACACGGGGGGGGGGGGGAGACACACGGGGAGACACGGGGGGGGGGGGGAGACACACGGGGAGACACGGGGAGGGGGGAGACACACGGGGAGACACACGGGGAGACACGGGGGGGGGGGACACACGGGGAGACACGGGGGGGTGACCACGGGGGGGAGGGGGGGGGGGAGACACATGGGGAGACACGGGGGGGGGGGAGACACACGGGGAGACACCACGGGGAGACACGGGGGGGGGGGACACACGGGGAGACACACGGGGAGACACGGGGGGGGGGAGACACACACGGAGACACGGGGAGGAGGGGAGACACACGGGGAGACACACACGGAGACACGGGGAGGAGACACACGGGGAGACACACACGGAGACACGGGGAGGGGGGGAGACACACGGGGAGACACACAGGGAGACACGGGGGGGGGGGAGACACACGGGGAGACACACACGGAGACACGGGGAGGGGGTGAGACACACGGGGAGACACGGGGGGGGGGGGAGACACACGGGGAGACATGGGGAGGGGGGGAGACACATGAAGACGGGGGGGGAGAGACACACGGAGGAGACACACAGGGAGTCACATGGCACACGAGGGGCTGGGTGGCCAGGAAACACGTCTACCCGGCCGGCTGCTTTTTCTAAAATGAGTACCGCCACCAGGTACTCGGTTGAGGCTGAGTCGACCTAGACCAGGACCGGTTCAGATAATCATCATGGGTGATGGCCGTGAGTCGGAATCGAACCCGGGTCGCCAGGTTCATAGCGCAGCGTAGCGCTAACAGCTACACCACCACTCCCCACCACACTCACAGACACACAACAACAACCGCCATTCGTCACTAGGTGGCGGTGACGTCACCACGACGCTTGTGCCAGGCCATGTGCACCTTGAGGCCACGTGAAGTGTCGAACGCCCGCTGGCAGGAGGTCACGGGGCAGACCCAAGTGCCACGGGTCGACTGACTGAGATGACTGAGATGACTGGCTGATGCACCACCTGTGCCCCCTACTGTTGCCAACCTGCTGTGCTTTAGCCACCCGGCGCTCCGCTCGTTGTTGTGAGCGTCGCTCCTCCGCCCTCCGTTGTTGTTGGAGGGTGACTGCCTCCAACTGCCCAGTAGCGTTCCTTCACGAGCCTCCTCCACAGAGGCCAATCTTGACACTGCTGGTATCAGTCATCGGCAAGTCCACTCAGCTCCACGTCCTCCTGTACCACATCACTCCATCTCTTCTCTAGCCCGTGCCGCGCCCGTCTAGCCCCCTCGATCCGGTCCCGAACAAAAGCTATGGCTGGGCATGCGGGCTACATGACCCAGCCAACGCAGCCTTGCCCGCGGGAGGTGCTCACCGATGGGACTTTGCCCAGATCTTTCAAGGATTTTGAGCTCCTCACACAATCCAGCCTGGTTAACCCCAGGATGGATCGTAGGCAGGCCAGCCTAAATGTTTCCAACCGGCGAAGATGCTCCATTAAAGGGGTCCACGTTTTCGCAAGCGTAGAGAAGGGAGGAATGACCGTGGCCGAGAAGACCTGAAGCTTCGTGCGGAGCGAAAGACCAGGTATCTTCCACACAGCGTTACGCAGCTGATGAAAAGATAATGCCGCTCGACTGATTCGGAGTGAGACCTTTGCTGTCAAACCGGAGCCGGTCATGAGCACACAGCCCAGGTTATGGATAACTCTCCACTCTCTCCACAACTGCCTCATCACTGATGGGAGTTGTGGGGTGGAGTGTGTGATGGTACAAAATACCCAGAAAGGTTGCTTCGTTTTGGTGGGGCTGATGGTAAGGCCCCACCTCTCCTCTTGAGTGAGTATCAATCACCAGATCATCAGCATACATAACATGGTTGACCTATAAGGAGCCATCCCTTAACCGCACCCGGGCATCGATCAGCCTCCCATTGTATCTGTGTCAGATGGAAATTCCTCGGGTACAGCCATGGAAGGCTTCACGAACTACGTAGTCGTAGTTTTACACAAACATACACGTATACACACACACATACGTATATACACCACAGACACACACAACACACGCATACACACACATGTATACACGGACACATACGCATGCACACACACACACGTATACAGACACACACAGACACACACAGACACACACACACAGACACACACGTGTGCACGCACCCATAAACCAGCGCTGGGCGGCTGTGTAATGGGCTACTGTGAACCGCACCTCTGTGCTTGACAGGGGTGTGTGGAAGCTTAACAACGCCCACTTGCAACAGCATCCACACTACAATAGCAAGACAAAGACAAATATCCCCCGTATAGCCTGTAACGGACTGTTGGGGCAAGTGCTGTTAGCGAGTAGCAGCACCTATGAAGGCTACCGGCACTGTGGCACACGAGTGGGGTGGGTGGCCAGCACCACGCCCGGCCGCCTTTGTTTCCCCAGTGGTGGACGTTTACTACACTACACCGCTTACACCAGGTACTCATTTGAGGCTGAGTCGACCTAGGGATCGGTTCAGATAATCGGCATCACTGGTGTTGGCCGTTGAGCGGGAATCGAACTCAGGTTTGCCGGGTTCATAGCGCAGCGCGCCAACCACTACACTAACCGCTGCCCACACAGACACACACACACAGGACACACACAGACAACACAAGTAGACACAAGATCTCCCGTGTAGCCTTTCAGTCTGTTGTTGGGGTAGTAGCAGGACCTATCAAGGGGGTGGGTGGCCAGCACCACGCCCGCCAACCTTTGTTTCGCTCGTGCAGGAGGAGGTCACGGGACAGACCCAGCAGGTGCCATGGGTTGACTGCTGTGCCAGGCTAAGTGCACAAGGAGGGAGGTCACGGGACAGACCCAGGTGCCATGGGTTGGTTTTTGTGCCAGGCTAGGTGCAGGAGGTCATGGGGACAGACTCGGATGCCATCAGTTGACTGCTGTGCCAGGCTAGGTGTAGTAGGAGGAGGTCACGGGATTAGACCCCAGGTGCCATGGGTGACTGAGATGACTGACAGAGGTTCCCACACGCTCACCACCACACTCACTACTCTACCCTACCCCACCACACACTCGCCCACCTTACCCACCACACACTCGCCCACCCTTGCCACCACACACACCTCCCTATCCCTCACCACCCTCACCTGGCAGATGGCGTAGAGCGAGAAGGCGATCCCGAAGGCGTTCCAAAGGGTGCCCACCAGAGCGTACCACAGGATGGTGCCCACGTTCTCGAAGAAGGGCCGGTATGGGCATGAAGTAGCCGGCGTCGAGCACGATGGGCGGCAGCAGGTAGAAGAAGAAGACGTCGGTGCTCATGACGGGCGGCGAACTGCTCGCGCGCCACCCAGGATGATCATGCCCACGAGGAGGCCCACCACGATCAGCAGGCAGCTCTCGGGCACCAGCGACGACACCTTCGGCGCCAGGTGGAAGCCTGCGCGCGGGGCGAGAGCGAGCGTCGGGCCGGCGCTGCCCCCGAGCCCCGAGCACCCGGGGTTCGGCTCCCCCGCCGGTGGTGGCGGCCGTCCGAACCGGTTGACCCCGGGGGGCCTCGTCCCCCACGCAAGTTTACACCGGGCAAGTTTACACCGGGGAGACAAAGGCGGCCGAGCGTGGCGCTCACTGGCCACCCACCACCGCCCTTCTGTGGCTGTGTGCGCCACAGTGCCGGCCTACTAACGGCGCTGGCCTCCAACAGTCTGCTGCAGGCTACGCGGAGCGATGGTGCGGGTGAGGCTCATAGAACTAAAGCTCCTCTCCCATAGGGTTCAATGTTAATCACTGAGGCCCACAGAACCAGACTAAAGCTCCTCTCCCATAGGGTTCAATGTTAATCACTGAGGCCCACAGAATGAGACTAAAGCTCCTCTCCCATAGGGTTCAATGTTAATCACTGAGGCCCACAGAACCAGACTAAAGCTCCTCTCCCATAGGGTTCAATGTTAATCACTGAGGCTCAGAACCAGACTAAAGCTCCTCTCCCATAGGGTTCAATGTTAATCACTGAGGCTCACAGAACCAGACTAAAGCTCCTCTCCCATAGGGTTCAATGTTAATCACTGAGGCTCACAGAACCAGACTAAAGCTCCTCTCCCATAGGGTTCAATGTTAATCATTGAGGCCCACAGAACCATACTAAAGCTCCTCTCCCATAGGGTTCAATGTTAATCACTGAGGCCCACAGAACCAGACTAAAGCTCCTCTCCCATAGGGTTCAATGTTAATCACTGAGGCTCACAGAGCCAGACTAAAGCTCCTCTCCCATAGGGTTCAATGTTAATCACTGAGGCCCACAGAACGAGACTAAAGCTCCTCTCCCATAGGGTTCAATGTTAATCACTGAGGCCCACAGAACCAGACTAAAGCTCCTCTCCCATAGGGTTCAATGTTAATCACTGAGGCCCACAGAACCAGACTAAAGCTCCTCTCCCATAGGGTTCAATGTTAATCACTGAGGCTCACAGAACCAGACTAAAGCTCCTCTCCATAGGGTTCAATGTTAATCACTGAGGCTCAGAACCAGACTAAAGCTCCTCTCCCATAGGGTTCAATGTTAATCACTGAGGCTCACAGAACCAGACTAAAGCTTCCTCTCCCATAGGGTTCAATGTTAATCACTGAGGCTCACAGAACCAGACTAAAGCTCCTCTCCCATAGGGTTCAATGTTAATCACTGAGGCCCACAGAACCAGACTAAAGCTCCTCTCCCATAGGGTTCAATGTTAATCACTGAGGCTCACAGAACCAGACTAAAGCTCCTCTCCCATAGGGTTCAATGTTAATCACTGAGGCTCACAGAGACAAAATAAGGCTCCCTCCCATAGGCTTAGGTGGTTTAAGTGAATGGTGGGTGGGCGGCTGAGTGAATGGTGGGCGAGAGAGTGGGGTGAGTGAGTGGGTGAGTAAGTGGGTGGGGTGAGTGAGTGAATGAGTTGGTGAGTGAGTGAATGAGTTGGTGAGTGAGTGGGTGGGTGAGTGAGCGAATGACTTGGTGAGTGAGTGAATGAGTTGGTGAGTGAGTGGGTGGGTGAGTGGGTGGGTGAGTGAGTGGGTGAGTGAGTGGGTGGATGAGTGAATGAGTTGGTGAGTGAGTGGGTGAGTGAGTGACTGAGTGGGTGAGTGGGTGAATGAGTGGGCGGGTGGGTAAGTGGGTGAGTGAGTAGGTGAGTGAGTGACTGAGTGAGTGGGTGAATGAGTGGGTGGGTAAGTGGGTGAGTAGGTGGGTGAGTGAGTGGCTGAGTGAGTGGGTCGCTGAGTGGCTGAGTGAGTGGGTGGGTGACTGAGTGGCGGACTGAGTGAGTGGCTGACTGACTGAGTGGCTGACTGATTGAGTGACTGAGTGAGCGACTGAGCGGGTGCGACTCGACCGAGTGTTGGCCCGGCGTGGCTCACAACAGAGCGCAGGCCCCAGCGGGTCTCGCATCGTCTCTCCCCTTCCTCACCCATCTTGGCGAGCGAGGCGAGCAGGATCCACAGCGTGATCTCGAACGGGACCTGCACGTGGGCGTAGTCGAGGCTCACCACGTGGATCCCGCCACCGTGACCCGCGTCGACGTGACCCGCGTCGCCGTGACCCGCATCGCCGTGACCCGCGTCCCCGGGCCCCGGGGTCGCCTGCGGCGGCGAGTCCAGGCGAGGCCGAGGCGTTTGCGCGGACGCCGGGGAGGCGTAGGCCGCGATAACGATCGTGGGCAGGGCGATGATGATGATGGTGGTGGCCATGGATGCGAGGTGGAGGCGGTGGTGGTTGTGGTGGAGGCTCGACGAGGTAGACGACGGCGGTGGAGAGGTGAGAGTCGCCATCTCCTCGCACTCCCCGCGGGACGAGGAGAGAGAGGGGAGAGAGCGAGCGCGGTGCCGCCCTGGAGGTTCGCTCCCCGTGTGGTGGAGGTGGAGCGGTGGTGAGCGCGGTGCGCGTGTGTGTGGGAATGTCTGTGTGTGTGTGCGTCTGTGTGTGTGCGTCTGTGTGTGTGTACGTCTGTGTGTGTGTGCGTCTGTGTGTGTGTGGGGGGTCTCCTGGCTCCGCCAATGAGACACACACATACAGACATTCCTACAGAAACATACACAGACACACACACAGACACACACACCCCCACACACACAGACACAAATCCTTGAAAGATCCGGGCAGGGTCCCATCGGTGAGCTCCTCCGGCAGGCAAGGCTGCGATGGCTGGGTCATGTAGCCCGCATGCCCAGCCACCGCATGCCGAAACAGCTTTTGTTTGGCCGGATTGAGGGGGCTAAGCGGGCACGGCACGGGCTAGAGAAGAGATGGAGTGATGTGGTACAGGAGGACGTGGAGCTGAGTGGACTTGCCGATGACTGGTACCAGCGGTGTCAAGATCGGCCTCTGTGGAGGAGGCTCGTGAAGGATGCTAATGGGCAGTTGGAGGCAGTCGCCCTCCAACAACAACGGAGGGCGGAGGAGCGACGCTCACAACAACGAGCGGAGCGCCGGGTGGCTAAAGCACAGCAGGTTGGCACAGTAGGGGGCACAGGTGGTGCATCAGCCAGTCATCTCAGTCAGTCGACCCGTGGCACCTGGGTCTGCCCCGTGACCTCCTGCCAGCGGGCGTTCGATACTTCACGTGGCCTCAGGGTGCACATAGCCTGGCACAAGCGTCGTGGTGACGGTCACCGCCACTTAGTGGCGAATGGCGGTTGTTGTGTGCGTCTGTGTGTGTGTGCGTCTGTGTGTGTGTACGTCTGTGTGTGTGTGCGTCTGTGTGTGTGTGGGGGGTGTGTGTCTGTGGGTGTGTGTGTGTCTGTGGGTGTGTGTGTCTGTGTGTGTGTGTCTGTGTGTGTGTGTGGGGGTGTGTATCTGTATGTGTGGGGGTGTGTGTGGGGTGTGTGTGTGTGGGGTGTGTGTGTGTGTCTGTGTGTGTCTGTGTGTGTGGGGGTGTGTGTGTGTCTGTGTGTGTCTGTGTATGTTCTGTAGGAATGTCTGTATGTGTGTGTCTGTGTGTGTCTGTCTGTGTGTCTGTGTGGGTGTGTGTGGGAATGTATGTGTGGGTCTGTGTGTGTGTCTGTGTCTGTAGGAATGTCTGTGTGTGTGTGTAGGAATGTCTGTATGTGTGTGTCTGTATGTGTGTGTCTGTGTGTGTGGGGGGTATGTGTCTGTGAGTATGTGTGTGTGTGTGCACAGTAGGGGGCACAGGTGGTGCATCAGCCAGTCATCTCAGTCATCTCAGTCAGTCGACCCGTGGCACCTGGGTCTGCCCCGTGACCTCCTGCCAGCGGGCGTTCGACACTTCACGTGGCCTCAGGGTGCACACAGCCTGGCACAAGCGTCGTGGTGACGTCACCGCCACTTAGTGGCGAATGGCGGTTGTTGTTGTGTCTGTGTGGTTGTTGTGTCTGTGTGGTTGTTGTGTCTGTGTGGGTGTGTGTCTGTGGGTGGGTGTGTGTGTCTGGGTGTCTGTGTGTCTGTGTCTGTGGGTGTGTGTGTCTGTGAGTATGTGTGGGCGGTAGTGTAGCGGTTAGCGCGCTGCGCTACGAACCTGGCGACCGGGTTCGATTCCCGCTCACGGCCAACATCAGTGACGATTATCTGAACCGGTCCTGGGCCTCCCCTAGGTCGACTCAGCCTCAAATGAGTACCTAGTGCGGTGTGTTAACATCGCCACTGGGGAGACAAAGGCGGTCGGGCGTGGTGCTGGCCACCCACCCCCTCGTGTACCGTTCCGGCCTTCATCTTTGGCTATTTCGGTAAAGTCACCACAACACCAAGTGGCCTTCTTCAGGTGAAAGGAACAGACCTGTCGGGACGACAGAGCTCTATATCTATTCCATGCTTGTCATCAAACCTAAGATCCCACTGAGCGAGCTGGCCATCACGAATGATAGCTCAGTCACGTGGCTGATATCATCATCACCACCACGTGGACATTCATATCAGCAGACAAACTCTCTAAACTCGTGGTGACTTTGATTCTTAATGTGTAGGGGAGAAGCCGGAGAGAACAATCAATGCAGGAAGAGAGAGACGCAGACTCCAAATATACAGCAGCAGGCATCTTCAGTGTCGGGATTGAACCCAAAACCTCCTGCATACCAGGCGAGGTAGTTAACATCTCAACATCGAATCCACGACCTCCTGCATACCAAGCGAGGTAGTTAACATCTCAACATCGAATCCACGACCTCCTACATACCAGGCGAGGTAGTTAACATCTCAACATCGAATCCACGGCCTCCTGCATACCAGGCGAGGTAGTTAACATCTCAATATCGAATCCAAGACCTCCTGCATACCTGGCGAGGTCGTTAACATCTCAACATCGAATCCACAAGGTGGTTAACGTCTCCTTGTCATCTTGAATCGCCAAAGTAATGTTTAGTTGCGAATTAAAATTCCTCCAGGCGAATGTTGATCGCCTCACTTATAAATATACGTGCAGAGTGACACTCTAGTGATGTGTGTCTCTGTGTGTCCCTGTGTGTGTCTGTGTGTATCTGTGCGTCTCTGTCTGTGTGTCTCTGTGTTTGTGTGTGCGTCTGTGTCTGTGTGTCTCTGTGTTTGTGTGTGCGTCTCTGTGTCTCTGTGTGTGTCTTTGTGTGTCTCTGTGTCTCAGTGGGGAGCGGTAGTGTAGTGGTTAGCGCTATGTTGCACTACGAATCTGGCGACCCGAGTTCGATTCCTGCTCACGGCCAACACCAGTGATAGCGATTATCTGAACCGGTCATGGGCCTCCCTTAGGTCGACTCAGCCTCAAATAAGTACCTGGTGCAGTGTGTAAACATCGCCACTGGGGAGACAAAGGCGGCCGGGCGTGGTGCTGGCCACCCACCCCCTCGTGTGCCGTTCTGGCCTTCATAGGTGCTACTCGCGTGTACACCATATGTCTGCGTGTCTTTATCTATGACGTGTATGTGTGTGTGTCTTTGTGTCTGTTCGCGTTTGTCTACGTGTCTATGCTGGAGACCGGTACCAGCGGTGTCAAGATCGGCCTCGTGAAGGACGCTGCTACTAGGCAGTGCCAGGCTAGGTGCACTGCGAGGCTACTGGGTAGTTGGAGGCAGTCGCCCTACAGCAATAACGGGGGGCAGAGGAGCGACGCTCACAACGAGCGGAGCACCGGTCAGTCGACCCATGGCACCTGCTGGATCTGTCCCGTGACCTCCTGCCAGCAGAGAGCCTTTGACACTTCGCGTGCCCTCAAAGTGCACCAAGCCTGGCACAGGCGCCGCGGTGGCGTCACCATCACTTAATGGCGGCTATTGGCGTGTTCATGTCTGTGTGTCTAGATGCGGGGGAGCGGTGGAGCAGCGGTTGGCGCTACGCTGCGCTATGAACCCGGCCGCCCGAGTTCGATTCCTGCTCATAGCCGACAACACCGTTGACGATTATCTGAACCGGTCCTGGGCCTCCCCCCTAGGTCTGCTTAGCCTCAATTACAACTACAACCACCACACCACACCACTACATGAATACCACGACTACACCACCCCGCTCACCACACGCCTGAACCACCCCATTTGCAATTGCCGGCCGTCGGTGGGGACTCCGTCGGTGGGGACTCCGTCGCCGGGGACTCCGTCGCCGGGGACTCCGTCGCTGGGAACGCCGTCGCTGAGGCTGTTGGTTCCAATGGCACCGTCGCCGGGGACTCCGTCGCCGGGGACTCCGTCGCCGGGGACTCCGTCGCCGGGGACTCCGTCGCCGGGGACTCCGTCGCCGGGGACTCCGTCGCCGGGGACTCCGTCGCCGGGGACTCCGTCGCCGGGGACTCCGTCGCTGGGGACTCCGTCGCTGGGGACTCCGTCGCTGGGCACGCCGTCGCTGGGCACGCCGTCGCTAGGGACTCCGTCGCAAGGGATTCTGTTGCTGGGGACGCTGTCGCTAGGGACTCCGTCACTAGGGACACCGTCACTAGGGACTCCGTCGCTAGGGACGCCGTCGCTAGGGACTCCGTCACTAGGGACACCGTCGCTAGGGACTCCGTCGCTGGGGACTCCGTCGCTGGGGACGCCATCGCTGGAGACTCCGTCGCTGGAGACTCCGTCGCTGGAGACTCCGTCGCTGGGGACGCTGTTGCTGAGGCCGACCATTGCTAGGGACGCTGTCGCTAGGGACACCGTCGCTGAGGCAGTTGGTTCCAACGGCACCGTCGTTGGGGACACCGTCGCTAGGCACGACGTCGCTGGGGACGACGTCGCTGGGGACGACGTCGCTGGGGACGACGTCGCTGGGGATGACGTCACTGGGGATGACGTCGCTGGGGACGCCGTCGCTGGGAACGACGTCGCTAGGGACGCCGTCGCTGAGGCTGACCCGTCGGTGACCTTTGGTTCAGCCTTAGCGACGGCGTCTCTGGCGACCACTGGTACCGGTCATCGCCAAGTCCACTCGGCTCCACATCCTCCCGTACCGCATCACTCCATCTCTTCTCTAGCCCGTGCCGCGCCCGTTTGGCCCCCTCTATGCGGCCAAACAGAAGCTTCTTGGGCATGCGGTGGCTGGGCATGCGGGCTACATGACCCAGCCAACGCAGCGTTAGCCTGCTGCTGGAGGAGCTCACTGATGGGACTTTGTCCAGATCTTGAGGATTGTGTGAGCTCCTCACACAATCCAGCCTGCAGGTTAAACCCAGGATGGATCGTAGGCAGGGCCAGCCTGAATGTTTACAACCGGTGCATGACTACACACACACATGTACACACACGTACACTTATGCTGGTGTTCACGTCTCTGAGTTTATTAACTGCAGTGATAACTTAACAGTGCGCAGCGAGACATTACCAAGACAGCGTGCAGATGAGAAGAGAGACACGGTCCCTGGACTCACACCAAGTGTCTCAACACTGTCTCCAAATCGGCCCCTGTGCCCCCCTAACCCCGTGTCTCTCTGTCCCTATGTCCCCCTATTCCCGTGTCTCAGCATCTGTCCCAGTGTCTCTGTCCCCGTGTCTGCCTATCCCCGTGTCTCAGCATCTGTCCCAGTGTCTCTGTCCCCGTGTCTGCCTATCCCCGTGTCTCAGCATCTGTCCCAGTGTCTCTCTGTCCCCGTGTCTGCCTATCCCCGTGTCTCAGCATCTGTCCCGTCTCTCTGTCGTCCCCGTGTCTCTCTGTCGTCCCCGTGTCTCTCTGTCGTCTCTGTGTCTCCTCTTCACTCTGCCGTGTCTCTATCCTCGTCCCAGTCGGCCTTCTTCTCCGGAGCCTTGGGACCTCCTGCGCGCTTTGCCATGATGATCTGTGTGAGTACGCGGGAGTGAGTACGCGTGAGTACGTGTGAGTGAGAGTGTGCAGGTACGTGAGTGAGAGTGTGCGAGTATGTGTGTACATGTGTGTGTGAGTATGTGTGTGAGTACGCGTGTGTGTACGCGTGCGAGTGTACAATGGCGGTTGTTGTTGAGTGTACGCGTGTGTGTGTGTGTACGGAGACAACAGCAGTACAATTAAGTTAGCAACTGAACACACTCAGAGTGGTCATGTTGATATGGGTGGTGGTGATGATGTTGCAGCTCAGCACAGTGGTGGTTGTGGTAGTGTCCTGGTCTACGCTCGGCACGGTGGTGGAAGCGTTGGTGGTTGTGTTGGTTGGTGATAGTGGTTGTGGTGGTAGTGACCTGGTCTACGCTCAGCACGGTGGTGGACGCGTTGGTGGTTGTGGTTGTGTTGGTTGTGGTAGTTGCGGTAGTTGGTGGTGGTGATAGTGGTTGTGGTGGTGGTAGTGACCTGGTCTACGCTCAGCACGGTGGTGGACGCGTTGGTGGTTGTGTTGGTTGTGGTAGTTGCGGAAGTTGATGGCGGTGATAGTGGTTGTGGTGGTGGTGGTAGTGACCTGGTCTACGCTCAGCACGGTGGTGGACGCGTTGGTGGTTGTGTTGGTTGTGGTAGTTGCGATAGTTGGTGGTGGTGATAGTGGTTGTGGTGGTGGTAGTGACCTGGTCTACGCTCAGCACGGTGGTGGCCGCGTTGGTGGCCAGTTTCAGGGCCCAGTGCTTGAGCAGCAGCGGCTCCAAAATCCCTGCGACGTTGGCATCCAATACCGTGGGACCCTCTCCCTACACAGACACACACACACAAAGACACCCCGTGTAGACCTTAACAGACTGTAGGGGCAAGTGCTGTTCGCGAGCACCTGTGAAGGCCAGAACGGTACACGAGGGGGTGGGTGGCCAGCACCACGCCCGATCGCCTTTGTCTCCCCAAAGGCGATGTTTACACACCGCTACACCAGGTACTCATTTGAGGCTGAGTCGACCTAGGGGAGGCCCAAGACTGGTTCGGATAATCGTCACTGGTCTTGACCGTGAGCGGGAATCGAACCTGGGTCGCCAGGTTCATAGTGCAGCTTTGCGCTAATCACTACACGACCGCTCCCCACAGACACACAGACACACACAGATAGAGAGATATATACACATAGATATGTAATACATACACAGATATTTTTAGAGACACAGATATATAGAGATAAAGAGAGATACAGAGCCATATACATATATAGAGATATAGAGAGTTACAGAGACGGATACATGCTGGTGGTGATAGTGGTGGTGCTGGCAGTGATAGTTGTGGTGGTGGTGATTCTGGTGACGGTGATAGTGGTGGTGCTGGTGGTGATAATAGTGGTGGTGATTCTGATGACGGTGATAGCGGTGGTGGTGATAATGTTGGTACTGGCAGTGATAGCGCTAGCGGTGGTGATAGCGATGGTGTGATAGCGCTAGCGGTGGTGATAGCGGTGGTGGTGGTGATAGCGGGGGTGATGGCGCTAGCGGTGGTGATAGCGCTAGCGGTGGTGATAGCGGTGGTGATAGCGCCAGCGGTGGTGATAGCGCTAGCGGTGGTGATAGCGGGGGTGATAGCGCTAGCTGTGGTGATAGCGCTAGAGGTGGTGATAGTGGTGGTGATAGCGCTAGTGGTGGTGATAGCGCTAGCGGTGGTGATAGCGGTTGTGATAGCGGTGGTGGTGACAGCGCTAGAGGTGGTGACAGCGGTGGTGGTGATAGCGGTTGTGGTGATAGCGCTGGCGGTGGTGATAGCGGTGGTGACAGCGCTAGCGGTGGTGATAGCGGTGGTGACAGTGCTAGTGGTGGTGACAGCGCTAGCGGTGGTGATAGCGGTGGTGATAGCGGTGGTGATAGCGCTAGCGGTGCCGATGACGATGCTGGTGACAGTAGCCGGCGGCGACGGCAGCGGACAGTGCCGGGGATTCTCGGCTCCACCCCGGTGGCCCACCTCAATGTCGATGCCCACGCCGGTGCCCGTGACGCCGGTGCCCGCGGTGGCTGGCGCCACGTGCTGGTGAGCGGCGTACAGCAGGGACACCACCTCGTTGGCCTTCACTCCGGCGTTCTCCGCCAGTGCACGCGGCACCGCCTCCAACGCCACGGCAAACTTCTTGATGGCGTACTGGTCCAGGCCGGGACTCGCCTGTACACAGACACACGCATAGACACACACACACATAGACACACACACATAGACACACACACATAGACACACACGCATAGACACACACACGCACACATAGACACACATAGACAGACACAGACACACACATACATAGACACACACACATAGACACACACACACATAGACACACACACACATAGACACACACGCATAGACACACACACAGACACATACACACATAGACACACACGCACACATAGACACAGACACACACAGACACACACACAGACACACACACACACATAGACACACACACATAGACGCACACACATAGACACACACACAGACGCACATATAGACACACACATAGATGCACATATAGACAAACACACATAGACACACACACACACACATAGACGCACATATAGACACACACACATAGACACGCACATATCGACACACACATATAGACACACACACACATAGACGCACATATAGACACACATAGACACACACACACATAGACGCACATATAGACACACACACATATAGACACACACACATAGACGCACATATAGACACACACACATATAGACACACACACATAGACACATAGACACACACACACATAGACGCACACACATAGACACACACACACATAGACACACACACATAGACGCACATATAGACACACACACATAGACGCACACACAGACGCACATATAGACACACACACATAGACGCACACACAGACACACATATAGACACACACACATAGATGCACATATAGACAAACACACAGACACACACATATAGACACACATACACACACATACACACATATAGACACACACACATACACATACACAGACACACACATAGACGCACATATAGACACACACACACATAGACATACACACAGACACATAGACAGACACATACATAGACACACACATAGACGCACATATAGACATAGACACACACAAATACATATAGACATAGACACACATATAGACATCGACACACACATAAACACAGGTGAGTGAGTGGTGATGAGTGGCGAGTGAGTGGTGATTGGTCATGGTGAGTGGTCATGGTGAGCGGTCATGGTGAGTGAGTCGTCAGTGGGTCAGTGCGTGGTGACGAGTGGTGGGTGAGCGGTCGTGGTGGGTGAGCGATCGTGGTGGGTGAGTGGTGATGAGTGGTGATGAGTGGTGATGCGTGAATGGTGATGCGTGAGTGGTGATGAGTGGTGATGCGTGAATGGTGAGTGGTGATGCGTGAGTGGTGATGAGTGGTGAGTGGTGATGCGTGAGTGGTGATGCGTGAATGGTGAGTGGTGATGCGTGATGAGTGGCGAGTGGTGATGCGTGAATGGTGAGTGGTGATGCGTGAGTGGTCGTGGTGAGCGATCCTCACCTCCCCGTAGGCTGCTATCTGCTGGGCCAGCTCAATCTCCGTAGCGCCAGCACCGGGCACCAGACGGCGATCCTGCAGCATAGCAGCATCACAACATCATCATCACATCATCATCACAACATCACCACAACATCATCATCACATCATCATAATAACATCACATCATCATCACATCATCATCACATCACCACAACATCACATCATCATCACATCACCACAACATCATCATCATCACAACATCACATCACCACAACATCATCATCACATCATCATAATAACATCACATCATCACATCACATCACTACAACATCATTACATCATCATCACAACATCATCACATCATCATCACATCATCATAATAACATCACATCATCATCAAATCATCATCAGCTTCACAATGTTACAACATCAGCATAGCACCGTGGTGATGGTGGTGGTCATGATGGTGGCGGTGATGGTGGCGACAATGGTGGCGGTAACGGTGCTGGTGGCGGTGGTCACGATGGTGACGGTGATGGTGGCAGTGATGGTGACGGTCGTGATAGTGGCGGTAATGGTAGCCATGGTGACGGTGCCAGTGGGTGAGGGGTGATTGAGTAGTAAGTGAGTGGTGAGCGTTCCTCACCCGCAGGAGGACCTTGTAAGAGTTCACTCCATCGTCCACAGCTCTCTCCGCGTCATCCATCACATTCTCAGTGGCACCACGCAGCAGCACGGTGGAGATCGCGCTCTCCTCCTTGTCTGCTCACCACACACGCTCACCACTCACTCACCACACTCACCACTCACTCACCACACTCACCACTCACCCACCACTCACTCTCACCATACTCACCACTCACTCACTCACCACTCACCATCACATTATCGGTGGCACCACGAAGCAGCACGGTGAAGATCTGCTCTCCTCCTTGTCTGCTCACCACACAGGCTCACCACTCACTCACCACTCACTCACCACACTCACCACTCAACTCACTCACACATCATACACTCACACTGCCGCTGACTCGCTCACACATCATACACCGACTCGCACATCATACACTGACTCGCACATCATACACTCACTAACGCTGCTGCTGACTCACTCACACATCATACACTGGGAGTGTCGTGCTGCCAGCTATGGCTGCAGTTTTTTGTCGTCCGTGTTATATATGTCGTTTATTGTTAAATTTAAAATCACAGTTCCTATGATTACTGTTGTTACATTGTTTTCTTAGCTTTATTTTGGTGATTCGAAAACATATGGTTAATCCAAATTGTCTTATGGTTGTTGTTGTTGGCTTGCACCACATTGATTTTTGCACACAGCGTTTTAATACGTTTTTTTGTGTGGCATATTTGCTGGTTTATTCCAGAATGTTTGTGTTATGCGTTGTCGCTTTAAGATGTTCTGTGTTCAAATTTTGTTTGTTGCGGTTGCACCCGACTTAAGAGTCGCATGGCTCACAGGGCTATACCTAATAAATGAAACTTGAAAAAAACTTGAAACCCTCACCATACTCACCACTCACTCACCACTCACTCTCACCACACTCACCACTCACTCTCACCATGCTCACCACTCACTCATTCACTCACCACTCATTCACTCACCACTCCACTCACTCACCACGATCACCACTCACTCACCATGCTCACCACTCACTCATTCATTCACTCACCACTCCACTCACTCACCATGCTCACCACTCATTCACTCACCACTCCACTCACTCACCACGATCACTACTCACTCACCATGCTCACCACTCACTCACCATGCTCACCACTCAACCCACTCATTCACTCACCACTCAACTCACTCACCACACTAATCACTCACCACACTTACTCACTCACCACTCACTCACCACACTTACCACTCACTCACCACACTCACCACACACTCACCACTCACTCTCACCATACTCACCATCACATTATCGGTGGCACCACGAAGCAGCACGGTGAAGATCCGCTCTCCTCCTTGTCTGCTCACCACTCACTCACCATGCTCACCACTCACCATGCTCACCACTCACTCACCACACTCACCACTCACTCACCATGCTCACCACTCACTCACCACTCCACTCACTCACCACGATCACCACTCACTCACCATGCTCACCACTCAACCCACTCATTCACTCACCACTCAACTCACTCACCACGCTAATCACTCACCACACTCACTCACCACTCACCACACTTACCACTCACTCACCACACTCACCACTCACTCACCATGCTCACCACTCACTCACTCATTCACTCACCACTCATTCACTCACCACTCCACTCACCACGATCACCACTCACCATGCTCACCACTCACTCACCACGCTCACCACTCATTCACTCACCACTCAACTCACTCACCACGCTAATCACTCACCACACTCACTCACCACGATCACCACTCACCACCTCTCACCACCCCTCACCTTGCTTGAAGACGACCACCTGCGTGTCCCCCACCTCGTCAAGGTGGACGCTGTCACAGTGACCCAGATCATCCGCCGTGGGTGGGGTCTGCATCACCGAGGAGGAGGTGGAGGAGGAGGTGGTAGCGGTGGTGGTGGTGTAGGAGGAGGTGGTGGAGGACATGGAGGTGGCAAATGTGGTGGAGGTGGCGGAAGAGGTGGCGGAGGAGGTGGAGGAGGTGGAGGAGGACGTGGAGGTTGTGGTGGTGGATGTAGTGGTGGAGGAGGTGGTGGTGGATGTGGTGGTGGATGTAGTGGAGGAGGTGGTGGAGAAATGGTGGTGGATGTGGTGGTGATGGTGGAGGAGTGGAGGTAGTGATGGATGTGGAGGTAATGGATGTGGTGGAAGTGATGGTGGTGGACGTGGTGGAAGATGTGGAGGTGGTGATGGATGTGGTGGTGGTGGAGATGGTGGTGGATGTGGTGGAGGTAGTGGAGGAGGAAGAAGGATGTAGGAGGATGTGGCAGAGGCTCCGTTGTTATCCCTCCACAGCTAAGGGTGTCAATGATTTGACTAACAGTACTTGCCCCAATAGCACGTGTGGGCTATATGGGGGATCTTTTATGTATGTGTCTCTGTGTCCCTGCATGTCTGTGTCTCTGTGTCCCTGCATGTCTGTGTCTCTGTGTGTCTGCATGTCTGTGTGTCTGCATCTCTGCGTGTCTGCATCTCTGTCTGCATCACTGTGTGTGCGTCTGTGTCTCTGTGTATCTGCATATCTGTGGCTCTGTGTGTGCGTCTCTGTGTGTGCGTCTCTGTGTGTGCGTCTCTCTATGTGCGTCTCTCTGTGTGCGTCTCTGTGTGTGTGTCTCTGTGTGTGCGTCTCTGTGTGTGCGTCTCTGTGTGTGCGTCTCTGTGTGTGCGTCTCTCTGTGTGCGTCTCTGTGTGTGCGTCTCTGTGTGTGCGTCTCTGTGTGTGCGTCTCTGTGTGTGCGTCTCTCTGTGTGCGTCTCTGTGTGTGCGTCTCTGTGTGTGCGTCTCTGTGTGTGCGTCTCTGTGTGTGCGTCTCTGTGTGTGCGTCTCTCTGTGTGCGTCTCTGTGTGTGCGTCTCTCTGTGTGCGTCTCTGTGTGTGCGTCTCTGTGTGTGCGTCTCTGTGTCTCTGTGTTTCTCTGCATGTGTCTCTGCGTCCCTGCGTGTGTCTCTGTCTCTCACCAGACGAGGCAGGACAGTGGCCCCAACCGTCTTGCTCAGTCTTCTTAGATCCCATTTGGAATTCAGCCTGGACACAGACACAAAGATCCCCCGTGTAGCCTTAACAGACTGTAGGGGCAAGTGCTGTTGGCGAGCACCCATGATGGCCGGAACGGTACACGAGGGGGTGGGTGGCCAGCACCACGCCCGACCGCCTTTGTCTCCCTGGTGGCGATGTTTACACACTGCTACACCAGGTACTCATTTGAGGCTGAGTCAACCTAGGGGAGGCCCGAGACCAGTTCAGATAATCGTCACTGATGTTGGCCATGAGCGGGAATCGAACCCGTGTCGCCGGGTTCATAGCGCAGCGTAGCGCTAACCGCTACACTACCGCTCCCCACAAGATAAGATATATAGACACAAAGACAAAGGTCCCCCATGTAACCTCTAGCAGACAGTAGGGGCAAGTGCTGTTAGTAGCGAGTAGTTACCTACAAAAAGATCCCCTGTGTAGCATCTAACAGGCTGTAGGGGCAAGTGCTGTTAGTAGCAGCACTTGCTACCAGCACTTTGGCACACACAGAGGGGGTGGGTGGCCAGCACCACGCCCGGCTGCCTTTGTCTCCCTGGTGGCGATGTTTACTACACACCGCTACACCAGGTACTTTTTTGAGGCTGAGTCGACTTAGGGGAGGCCCAGGACCGGTTCAGATAATCGCTATCACTGGGTCACCGGGTTTTTTAGTGCAGCGCGCTAACTGCTGTGGTACTGCTCCCCATTCGCCACGAAGTGGCGGTGACATCACCACGGCGCTTGTGCCAGGCTAGGTGCATTTTGAAGCCACATTAAGTGTCTAAGGCTCACTGTTGGCAGGAGGTCACAAGACAGACCCTGCAGGTGCCATGGGTTGACTGCTGTGCCAGGCTAGGTGCAGGAGGAGGTCACGGGACAGACCCTGCAAGTGCCATGGGTTCACCAACTGAGATGACCGGTAGATGCATCACCTGTGCCCCCTACTGTGCCAACTCACTGTGCTTTAGCCGCCCGGTGATCCGCTCACTGCTGCGTCGCTCCTCTGCCCTCCGTTGTTGCTGGAGGGCGACTGCCTCCAACTGCCCAGTAACCTCAGAGCGCACCTAGCCTGGCACTGCCCAGTATTAGCGTCCTACACGAGCCTCCTCTACAGAGGCCGATCTTGACACCGCTGGTACCAGTCATCGGCAAGTCCACTCAGCTCCACATCCTCCTGTACCGCATCAGCTCCATCTCTTCTTCAGCCCGTGCCACGCCTGTTTAGCCCCCTCTATCCAGCCAAACTGAAGCTGCTATGGGCATCTCTCTCTCTATATGCATCGCTCTCTGTCTGTATCTAACCATCTCTCTATACATCTCCATCTGCGCGTGTTGGCGTAGCGGTTGGCGCTACGCTGCGCTACGAACCCAGCGACCCGAGTTCAGTTCCCGCTCACGGCCACCAACGCCGCTGACGATTATCTAAACCGGTCCTGGGCCTCCCCTAGGTCGACTCAGACTCAAATGAGTACCTGGTGTCGCGGTGCGTATTGAACATTGCCACTGGGGAGAGAAACGCGGCAGGGCGTGGTGCTGGCCACCCACCCCCTCGTGTGCCACAGTGCCGGTAGCCTTCACAGGCGCTGTTACTCGCCACTAACGGCACTTGCCCCTACAGCCCTGTTAAAGGCTACGCGGGGGATCTTTGTCTTTGTAGGGCCGCACCTGACCAGCATGAGCCCGTGCTTGTTGGCGTAGTGCAGCGCCAGGTCGGCAACCTTGCCGCCCGTCACCACCACGGTGGCACCGGTGCTGGCGATCGCCACCACCTGCGACTCCAGCAGGGACTCGTCGCCCTGGGTGAGGGAGACCAGCTCCTGGGCGTTCCTGATCAACACCGTGCCCTGCACACACACACAGAGATAGCGATACACACACACACACGCAGATATATGTACGTAGATACAGATATACACACACACAGACACACACACACTGACACACACACTGACACACACACAAACACACACACTGACACAAACACGGACACACACACACTGACACACCTGACACACACACACTGACAACAACAACAACCGCCATTCGCCACTAAGTGGCGGTGACGTCACCACGACGCTTGACACAAACACACTGACACACACATACACACTGACACACACACACTGACACACACACACTGACACACAACAACAACCGCCATTCGCCACTAAGTGGCGGTGACGTCACCACGACGCTTGTGCCAGGACACACAAAGATAAGACAAAGATCACACTGACACACACACTGAAACACACACACTGACACACACACACACTGACACAAACACACACACTGACACACACACACTGACACAAACACGGACACACACACCTGACACACACACACACTGACATACACACTGACACAAACACAGACACACACACACTGACACACACAGACGCCCACCTTGGTCTCGGTGTTCATGGAGTCGAAGGGGCAGGAGTAGATGGCGATGCGCGCCGCCTTGGCCGTCTTCACGTCGCCCTCCACCTCGCGCTTGAACACCATCCCCCTCATTACCGTGGATGCCTGAACACCGGAGCCCTGTGGTGCAGACACACACACAGTTACACACACAGTTACACACGGAGATATACACACAGATACACAGAGAGATACACACACATATACACACAGAGATACACACACATATACACACAGATACACACACAGATACACACACAGACACACACAGTTACACAGAGATACACACACATATACAGAGATATACACACAGATACACACACACAGTTACACACACACAGTTACACACACAGATACACACACAGAGACATTCACCTCATTACCGTGGGCACCTGAACACCAGAGCTAGATATACACCGGTCATCGGCAAATCCACTCAGCTCCACATTCCCCTGACCGCATCACTCCACCTCGTCTCGAGCCCGTGGCGCGCCTGTTTAGCCCCCTCTATGCGGACAAACAGAAACTGCTTGGCCATGAGGTGGCAGGGCATGCGGGCTACATGACCCAGCCAACGCAGCCTTGCCTGCCAGAGGAGCTCACCGATGGTACTTTGCCCAGATCTTTCAAGGATTTGTGAGATCCTCACACAATCCAGCCTGGTTAAACCCAGGATGGATCGTAGGCAGGCCAGCCTCAATGTTTCTAACCGGCGAAGATGTTCCATTCGCAAGCATAGAGAATGGAGGGCATGACCGTGGCCGAGATTCGTGCGGAGCAACAGAACAGGTAGCTTCTCACAGCGTTACGCAACCAATGAAAAAGATAATACCGCTCAGCTGATTCAGAGACCTCTGCTGTCAAACCGGAACTGGTCATAACCACACTGCCCACACTAACACACAAAGACCCCCCCCGTATAGCCTGTGACGGCCGGTACGGCACACAAGGGGGGTGGGGTGGCCAACACCACGCCCGGCCACCTTTGTCTGCCCAGTGCAGGCGATGTTTACTACACACCGCACCAGCTACTCATATGAGGCTAGCACACTGCCCACATTAACACACACACCGACACTCACACACACACTCACTGATACACACACGCTCACTGACACACACACGCAGACTCTTACCAATATCTTGCAAACTCGTACGTTGTCCACATTGAAGTTGCCACTGCTGGGCAGAATCGAGACTGGAAGACAGAAAACGCACAGCATGCAAGTCTACGTGCGAGTCCCCGTGTGAGTCCCCGTGTTAGTGCGAGTCCCCGTGTGAGTCCCCGTGTTAGTGCGAGTCCCCGTGTGAGTCCCCGTGTTAGTGTGAGTCCCCATGTTAGTGTGAGTCCCCGTGTTAGTGTGAGTCCTCGTGTTAGTGCGAGTCCTCTTGTGAGTGTGAGTCTGAGTGTGAGTCCTCTTGTGAGTCCCCGTGTTAGTGTGAGTCTGAGTGTGAGTCTGAGTGTGAGTCTGATTTTGAGTCCGAGTGCGAGTCCGAGTGCGAGTCTGAGTGTGAGTCTGAGTGTGAGTCTGAGTGTGAGTCTGAGTGTGAGTCTGAGTCCGAGTGTGAGTCTGAGTGTGAGTGTGAGTCTGAGTGTGAGTGTGAGTCTGAGTGTGAGTCTGAGTCCGAGTCTGAGTCCGAGTGCGAGTCCGAGTGCAAGTCCGAGTGCGAGTCTGAGTGTGAGTCTGAGTGTGAGTCCGAGTGCGAGTCTGAGTGCGAGTCTGAGTGCGAGTCTGAGTGCGAGACTGAGTGTGAGTCCGAGTGCGAGTCCGAGTGTGAGTCTGAGTGTGAGCTCTCGTCCTCACCACAGGCGGAGGCAATGAGCTTGGCCAGGAAGTCCTCGATGCCGTACATCTTGGAGGAGACGGCCGTGCGGATGGCGGCCGCCACCTCGGCCTCGTCACGCTCGTTGCCCAGAGCCCGCTCGCTCAGCGACGGCAGCAGCTCCAGAGCCTTGTCGCACGCCTTCTCGTAGCCCGCAATCACCTGCAACCGCAACCACGCGCAACCACGCGCAATCAGCGGCACTACCGCCACCACTGCACTAAGCCTTCTTGTTTCCCGCAATCACCTGCAAGCACGACGCGCAAACACGCGCAATCAGTGTCACTACTACCCCCACTCTACCATCCACATTCGGCCTTCTTGTAGCCTGCAACCACACACGGCCAGTGTCACTACTACAACCACAATAAGCCTTCCTTACAGCCCTCAGTCACCTGGACTACACGCACACTCAGTGTCACTACCACAACCATCTGTGTGTGTATGTGTGTGTATTTGGTGTTGGCCACTCGCTAACAGCACTTGCCCCAACAGTCTGTTAAGGCTACACAGGGGACCTGTATCTGTGTAGTTAGCTACTCGCTACTACTACTAACAGCACTTGCCCTGACACTCTGTTAAGAGGCTACACGGGGGATCTTTGTCTTCACTGTGCGTACCTCCGGCACAGAGAGGCCGGAGCGCAGCAGGGAGTCGGCCTGCTCCAGCAGGGCGCCGCTCAGCAGCAGCACCAAGTTGGTGCCGTCACCAACCTCCCTCTCCTGCATCTCGCTCGCCATGAGCACCATGCGGGCTGCAGGGTGCTGCACCTGCACACGCGCACACACACACGTTGTATGTACACACACACGTTGTGCACGCACACACGTTGTGCACGCACACACGTTGTACACGCACACGTTGTACACGCACACACGTTGTACACGCACACACGTTGTACACACACACGTTGTACACGCACACGTTGTATGTACACACACACGTTGTACACACACACACGTTGTAAACACACACACACGTTGTACAACAACAACCGCCATTCGCCACTAAGTGGCGGCGACGTCACCACGACGCTTGTGCCAGGCCATGTGCACCTTGAGGCCACGTGAAGTGTCGAATGCCCGCGGGCAGGTCACAGGGCAGACCCAGGTGCCACGGGTCGACTGACTGAGATGACTGGCTGGTGCACCACCTGTGCCCCCTACTGTGCCAACCTGCTGTGCTTTAGCCACTCGGCGCTCCGCTCGTTGTTGTGAGCGTCGCTCCTCCGCCCTCCGTTGTTGTTGGAGAGCGACTACCTCCAACTGCCCAATAGCGTCCTTCACGAGCCTCCTCCACAGAGGCCGATCTTGACACCGCTGGTACCAGTCATCGGCAAGTCAACTCAGCTCCACGTCCTCCCGTACCACATCACTCCATCTCTTCTCTAGCCCGTGCCGCGCCCGTTTAGCCCCCTCGATCCGGCCGAACAAAAGCTGTTTCGGCATGCGGTGGCTGGGCATGCGGGCTACGTGACCCAGCCAACGCAGCCTTGCCTGCCGGAGGAGCTCACCAATGGGACCTTGCCCAGATCTTTCAAGGATTTGTGAGCTCCTCACACAATCCAGCCTGGTTAAACGCAGGATGGATCGTAGGCAGGCCAGCCTAAATGTTTCTAACCGGCGAAGGTGCTCCATTAAGGGGGTCCACGTTTCGCAAGCGTAGAGAAGGGAGGGAATGACCGTGGCCGAGAATACCTGAAGCTTAGTGCGGAGCGACAGACCAGGTAGCTTCCACACATCGTTACGCAACCGATTAAAAGATATTGCCGCTCGACTGATTTGGAGTGAGACCTCTGCTGTTAAACTGGAGCCGGTCATAAGCACACTGCCCAGGTATGGGAAACTCTCCACTCTCTCCACAACTGCCCCTTCACCGATTGGGAGTTGTGGGGGGGGAGTGTCCGATGGTACAAAATACCCAGGCAGGTGCTTAGTTTTGGTGGGGCTGATGGTAAGGCCCCATCTCTTAGTGTCACGCTCCAGTCTCAGCAGCAGCGTCTCCAACTCCTCCTCTGAATGAGCAGCTATTACCAAATCATCGGCATACATAACGTGGTTGAGCAATAGGGAGCCATCCCTTGACCGCACCCGGGCATCGATCAGCCTCCCATTATATGGGAGGCTGATCATTATAAACACACACTGTGTACACACACACACGTTGTACACACACACACACGTTGTACACACACACATTGTACACGCACACACGTTGTACACGCACACACGTTGTACACGCACACACGTTGTACACGCACACACGTTGTACACACACACACGTTGTACACACACACACACACACGTTGTACACACACACACTCGTTGTACACACACACACTCATTGTACACACACTCATTGTACACACATATTGTACACACACATTGTACACACACACATTGTACACACACACATTGTACACATTGTATATACACACAGTACACACACTCTTTGTATATTAACATTGTACACAATGTACACACACATTGTACACACACACATTGTATATACACACACACAGTACACACTCTTTGTATACTAACATTGTACACACACTCATTGTACACACACATTGTATATACACACACACACACAGTACACACACTATTTGTACATTAACATTGTACACAAACATTGTATACACCACACATTGTATATACACACACACAGTACACACACTCTTTGTATATTAACATTGTACACAAACAATGTACACACACATTGTACACACACTCATTGTACACACACATTGTACACACACACACACACATTGTATAAACACACACACAGTACCACACACTCTTTGTATATTAACATTGTACACACACACATTGTATATACACACACACAGTACACACACTCTTTGTATATTAACATTGTACACACACACATTGTATAGACACACACACAGTACACACACTCTTTGTATATTAACATTGTACACACCACACAAGTGTGAGTGAGTGTGAGAGAGCGATGAGTGCGAGTGGTGAGAGGTGAGTGAGCGGTGAATGAGTGGTGAGTGAACGGTGAGTGTTGAGTGAGCAGTGAGTGAACGGTGAGTGTTGAGTGAGCAGTGAGTGAGCGTGTGAAAGCGATAAGTGAGTGCTGAGTGAGCGGCGAGTGCTGAGCGAGCGGTGAGCGTTGGGCCACCTCCAGCTCGCGCACGATGGTGGCTGCGTCACTCGTAACAAACAGCTTCTCCAGGTGGTTGATCACCATCTTGTTCATCCCTGTTGGCACGCGGCAGCAGCAGCATTGTTATCATTATCAGTAGCAGCAGCAGCGTCATCATCATCAGTAGCGTCATCATCATCAGTAGCGTCATCATCATCAGCCTAATCATCAGCAGCAGGAGCGTCATAATCATCAACAGTATCAGCAGCGTCATCAGCATCAGCGTAGTCACCATCATCATCAGCTGGAGCGTCATCATCGTAGTCATCGTCATCATCAGTAGCAGCAGCATCATCATTATCAGCTGGAACATCATCATCAGCTGGTCTCACCAAATGGTCCGTAGGCTGTGCGCGTGGTCTCTGCCAGCTGCTTGCAGGCCTGGATGTTCCTGTACACAGCCTCCTCAAGACCACTGTAATGCTGCAGGGTGCACACACACACAGACACAAAAAGACAAAGATCCCCCGTGTAGCCTTAACAGACTGCTGGGGCAAGTCCTGTTAGTGAGCAGCACCTATGAAGGCCAGCACGGCACACGAGGTGGTTGGCCAGCACCACGCCCGGCCGCCTTTGTCTCCCCAGTGGCGATGTTCACTACACACCGCTACACCAGGTACTCATTTAAGGCTGAGTCCACCTAGGGCAGGCCCAGGACAGGTTAGATAATCGTCTCTGGGGTTGGCCGTGAGCTGGAATCGAATTTGGCAAAGGTTGAGTCTATGGAAAATGTGAGTCTATGGGCAGTGTTAGTCTATGGTCTGTGCTGAGTCTGTGGCAGTGCGGGGTCTATGGGTGACAGTGCTGAGTCTATGGCAGTGCTGGGTCTATGACAGTGCTAGGTCTATGGGTGACAGTGCTGAGTCTATGGCAGTGCTGGGTCTATGGCAGTGCTGGGTATATGGGTGACAGTGCTGAGTCTATGGCAGTGTGAGTATATGGCAGTGCTGAGTCTATAGCAGTGCTGAGTCTGTGGCAGTGCTGAGTCTATGGCAGTGCTGAGTCTATGGCAGTGCTGAGTCTATGGCAGTGCTGAGTCTATGGCAGTGCTGAGTCTATGGCAGTGCTGAGTCTATGGCAGTGCTGAGTCTATGGCAGTGCTGGGTATATGGCAGTGCTGGGTATATGGGTGACAGTGCTGAGTCTATGGCAGTGCTGAGTCTATGGGTGGCATTGCTGAGTCTATAGCAGTGCTGGGTATATGGGTGGCAGTGTTGAGTCTATGGCGGTGTTGAGTCTATGACAGTGCTGAGTCTATGTCAGTGCTGAGTCTATGACAGTGCTGAGCCTATGGCAGTGCTGAGTCTATGGCAGTGCTGAGTCTATGGCAGTGCTGAGTCTATGGCAGTGCTGAGTCTATGACAGTGCTGAGTCTATGGCAGTGCTGAGTCTATGGCAATGCTGAGTCTATGGCAGTGCTGAGTCTATGGCAGTGCTGAGTCTATGACAGTGCTGAGTCTGTGGCAGTGCTGAGTCTATGGCAGTGCTGGGTCTATGGCAGTGCTGAGTCTGTGGCAGTGCTGAGTCTATGGCAGTGCTGAGTCTATGGCAGTGCTGAGTCTATGGCAGTGCTCAGTCTATGGCAGTGCTGAGTCTATGGCAGTGCTGAGTCTATGGCAGTGCTGAGTCTGGCAGTGCTGAGTCGATGGCAGTGCTCAGTCTATGGCAGTGCTGAGTCTATGGCAGTGCTGAGTCTATGGCAGTGCTGAGTATATGGCAGTGCTGGGTCTATGGGTGACAGTGCTGAGTCTATGGCAGTGCTGAGTCTATGGCAGTGCTGAGTCTATGACAGTGCTGAGTCTATGGGTGGCAGTGCTGAGTCTATGGCAGTGCTAAGTCTATGGGTGGCAGTGCTGAGTCTATGGCAGTGCTGAGTCTATGGCAGTGCTGAGTCTATGGCAGTGCTGGGTCTATGGGTGACAGTGCTGAGTCTATGGCAGTGCTGGGTCTATGGGTGACAGTGCTGGGTCTATGGGTGACAGTGCTGGGTCTATGGGTGACAGTGCTGGGTCTATGGGTGACAGTGCTGGGTCTATGGGTGACAGTGCTGGGTCTATGGGTGACAGTGCTGGGTCTATGGGTGACAGTGCTGAGTCTATGGCAGTGCTGGGTCTATGGGTGACAGTGCTGAGTCTATGGCAGTGCTGGGTCTATGGGTGACAGTGCTGAGTCTATGGCAGTGCTGAGTCTATGGGTGGCAGTGCTGAGTCTGTGGTGCAGCGTCAGTGACAGATTCCATTCAAATCTGCGGATTTCTCCAGAATTAATTTAATCATTCAACAATTACGGCAGCCGCTCCGTCGAGGCAAGCGGTACTATCGCTACACGACCACTAAACCTGAACGTTTATTCGCTAAATCGATGTTTAATCTCCAATTCGGAACCCGACTTGCGGCCTGGTGGGTGAAGGCTTCGCGTGGTAACGGATAACGGCTCCATGCCGCGTCAGCTATTAAAAGCATCACCAACCAACATAGATCCCTACATTCGCAACCTCGTATGTTTAGTTCGATTCCCAACGAAGTTAAGCACAACTCCACCTCATTAAACTTGTTTTTAATGGGTAAGAATCACGCACGCGAGTGACAAACCCAGACCGCGTGGGTTTAGGGTGTTGTACTTCACAATGAAAATCTCCTCCCCTGCTGCTCCCCCTCCTGCTCCCCCTCCCTAACAAGGAGCCCGGTCTGAGTAGAAGGCGGCGGCGAGGAAGCTCCTCGAAGACTCACCCTGGCTCCATCCTTCAGCATCTGCGCAAAGCCGGGGGCCTTAGGAACGTGGAGCGCCATTGCTGCTGCGTCTTGGAGGAGAGAGAGGGGAGTCTGCCGGAAGAGGAAGATGGGAGGGGGAGTTGGAGGACAAAAAAACACCACCACGTCTTCCGGTAGCTCGGTCTTCCAGAAGGATCTACGCCTTGTCCATCTTCCCGAAGATCGGGTCGCGTTTTTTTGTGTTGTTGGGTAAGAACACTGGGAGACGCCTGAACGATCTTCCGGAAAATGCTGTTTTGAGTACTTTTAATGAGCGAACACTATATTTTTGGTTCTTTCGCTAAAGTCACGTAGAAGGGAAACAATCAAATAATAAAAATATATATAAAACAATAAAAATTCTCACGACGTTTCGACCATAACGTGACTTTACCGAAAGAGCTAAGAATATGAACACTTCTTATGAGGGGAAACTGCGATCTTTGATAGTTTTTAGAATTATTCACATGCCAACATAAAATACGTCAAATGTTCCTTCAAAACCGCTGCTTGAATCCGAAATATCTCAAATACAACAATGGTATGCATAAAAAGTAAATGAATAAAATATTAAGTTTTAATCTAGACTTGAAGTTTTCGTGCAGCACACAAAATCCGTGATCTAATCCCATCTGTGAAGGATGTCATTCCTGACATGCAATATCCTAGAATCTACAAACTAAGTTGCCCCTGTGGTGATTGTTACATTGGGGAAACCAAACGTCATGTCTCAGACCGTGTTCGCGAACACAAGGCAGATCTGAAACACGGCAGAACCAACTCCTCCGCCATGGCTGACCATTGCTATAACGCTGAGGGCTCTCATGATATTTTTTCCCCGATACCAAGGTGCTCTGCAAATCTTCGGGCTACCATCAAAGGTTTGTTCATGAAGCCATCCAGATATATAAACGTGGACATAATTTTAACCGAGAAGATGGGTACAAATTGAGCAATCATTTGAAGAATGTTATTAACCAGGTAAAACCTTAACTGCTTTATAGTTTATATTCTTAGCTCTTTCGGTAAAGTCACGTTGAAGGAAAACAATAAAATAATAAGTATATATGAAACAATAATAAATTCTTACGACGTTTCGACCATAACACAAACGGTCGTCATCAGGTGTGAAAAAAACAACGGCAAGAAACATGTGAAAGAAGTGGCGGTTCGCATTTATTTATCTATTAACGGTGCATTTATTTATAAAAAAAAAACTCAGCGCCACGTGCAGCGATTTGGCAGTTAATTTAGAAGGACTAGTCCATCTATGTTCTGAAAAGAGGGGGGAGACGAAAAATTAATGTATGCTGTCTGAAAGCCACCGTAAGCGTGAACAATCAATTAAGACCTGAAATGGTTTATCAAATCCTTCCAATGATTGCTAAGCCAGCATCCATCTTCTCGGTTGAAATTGTCTCTGTGCTTGTATATGTGGATAGCCTCATGAACGAATCTCTCATGGTAGCCAGATGGCTTACAAAGAACCTCTGTCTTGGAAAAGTCAATGTCATGTGAGCCTTCAACGTGACTTTACCGAAAGAGCTAAGAATATGAATTACTGCAGTCACGAAAGCTTTAAATCAAAATTTGCTTTATAGTTTGCCTTTGTATCCGCATCTCCAGTCTCTTCAGCCTCCTACCCCCCAGCCCTGCTCACTTCCCAGACCCGACATTTTGTCGTCTTGCAGCTCCCCACTACCCCTACCCCCTCCCCCCTCTCTTCTTCACCTTCCCACTCCCAGCCCCACTCACTTCAGCACCCCCCCCTCTCTCCTCCCTGGCTCCTCCCCCCTCTCTTCTTCACCTTCCCACAACCACTCACTTCAGCACCCCCCCCTCTCCTCCTTGGCTCCTCCCCCCTCTCTTCTTCACCTTCCCACTCCCAGCCCCACTCACTTCAGCACCCCCCCCTCTCTCCTCCCTGGCTCCTCCCCCCTCTCGTCTTCACCTTCCCACTCCCACAACCACTCACTTCAGCACCCCCCCCTACCCCCCCTCTCTCCTCCCTGGCTCCTCCCCCCTCTCTTCTTCACCTTCTCACTCCCTCAACCACTCACTTCAGCACTCCACTCCCCCTACCCCCCCTCTCTGTCTCTCCTCCCTGGCTCCTCCCCCCTCTCTTACCTATAAAGCCTCTTGTCACAGGAGCCCTTTTACCCACTTCAGCTATTTGTTTCTTGCTATGGTTGTCCCACCTGATGACGGACGCTTGTGTTGCGCCCGAAACGTCGTGATTTAATTTATTTCATTTTATACCTACTACGTGACTTTACCGAAAGAACCAAAGAGTATTACGTTTTAGTTCATTAAAATGTGGGGTCACAAGACATCTGGAGCACCCTTTCCATCGCCAAATATCCCGGAGGATCTGTACATGCTCTTTGGTTCTTTCGGTAAAGTCAAGTAGCTAGAAAATAATAAAATTAAAATGAAAATTAATAAAAACCAAAAACTCACGACGTTTGGATCGCAACACGAGCGGTTGTCATCAGGCGGCCGCTTTTGTTGCGATCGAAACGTCGTAAGTTTTTGGCTTCCATAAAAATTTTATGTTTATTTTATTATTTTCTATCTCCGTGACTTTACCGAAAGAACCAAAGAGTAGTAATAATACTCTTCTTGGTTTTTTTCAGTAAAGTCACGTAGGTAAAAAGTAAATAAAAACAACAAAATTTTATTTTTTCATTTATTTTTATTTTATTTTGTACCTACGTGACTTTACCGAAAAAACCCAAAGAGTGTGAATCCTTGCAGTCACGAAAGCTTCAAATCTAGAAGTTAATATCAATTCTAGATTTGAAGCTTTCGTGACTGCAAAGATCCATACTCTTTTGTTCTATTCGGTAAAGTCACGTAGGTAAAAAAAATAAAACAACAAAAATCACGACGTTTCGGCCACAACACAAGCGGCCTTCATCAGGTGAAGGAACCAGCCTGTCTCGAAGACTGCGCTGGAGTGAAACAGAGCCAAGCTCAGACTGCGACCTTTAAGCTGTGTGAGAGGGATTAAGGTGCCTCGACAAAGGAATTAACATAAAAAATAGCATTTGATTGGCAGACTTAGCATGATGAAAGGTGTAGCACGCGGCAGTGCACCTTTAAGCTGTGTGAGAGGGATTAAGGTGCATTGACAAAGGAATTAGCGCAAAAATTAGCATTTGATTGGCGGACTTATCATGATGAAAGGCGTAGCACAGTGATCGGCACCGGCAGTGCACCAGCCTGTGCTGCGAAAGTTTGGGGTACCACTACTTGAAAAAATATACTGTACCAATGAAAATTAGTTTAATGTTTGGTTCGATTTAGAACATCTTTCCAATGGTTGCTTAATTAGTAACCATCTTCTCGGTTGAAATTGTGTCTGTGCTTGTAGATCTGAATTGCCTCATGAACAAATCTCTGATAAAAACCTATAGGTTTGCAAAGAACCTTGGTATCGGAGAAAATTATATCGTGATCACCCACAGCGTTGTAACAGTGATCAGCTACGGCAGAAGAATTCGTTCTGCCGTGTTTCATATCTGATTTGTGCTCGCGAATTCGGTCAGAGACATGTCGCTTCATCTTGAGTTGTACCTGCGGTGATTGCTATATCGGGGAGACGAAACGACATGTCTCTGACCGAATTCGCGAGCACAAATCAGATTTGAAACACGGCAGAACGAATTCTTCTGTCGTGGCTGATCACTGTTACAACGCTGTGGGTGATCACGATATAATTTTCTCCGATACCAAGGTTCTTTGCAAACCCACATGTTTTTATCAGAGATTTGTTCATGAGGCAATTGAGATCTACAAGCACAGACACAATTTCAACCGAGAAGATGGTTTCAAATTAAGCAACCATTGGAAAGATGTTCTAAATCGAACCAAACATTAAACTAATTTTCATTGGTACAGTATATTTTTTCAAGTAGTGGTACCCCAAACTTTCGCAGCACAGGCTGGTGCACTGCCGGTGCCGATCACTGTGCTACACCTTTCATCATGATAAGTCCGCCAATCAAATGCTAATTTTTGCGCTAATTCTTTTGTCAAGGCACCTTAATCCCTCTCACACAGCTTAAAGGTGCACTGCCGCGTGCTACACCTTTCATCATGCTAAGTCCCCCAATCAAATGCTAATTTTTATGTTAATTCCTTTGTCGAGGCACCTTAATCCCTCTCACACAGCTTAAAGGTCGTAGTCTGAGCTTGGCTCTGTTTCACTCCAGCGCAGTCTTCGAGACAGGCTGGTCCCTTCACCTGATGAAGGTCGCTTGTGTTGTGGCCGAAACGGCGTGATTTTTGTTGTTTTATATTTTTTTTACCTACGTGACTTTACCGAATAGAACCAAAGAGTATTAATATCAATTCCTGCAGTCTGGAAAGATTCTACCGATCTTCCGGAATAATGGAAGTTGTTTTGTTACCATCTTCCAGAAGAAAGGGGGATAATCCCTGCCGGAAGAGGAAGTAGCATAAATAAAAAAACACGACTACGTCTTCCGGAAGGACGTTGCATCCAGAAGGATCTGCGCCTGCCGATCTTCCGGAAGATTTCTACCGGGATTGTTTTATTTTGGTTCGCGGAAGAGTCAGTAGAGGTCTTCCGGAAGATCGCTCAGGGTTGCTAGGCGACTGCCCCCCCCCCCCCGGAGAACTTTGGCGGCAAATCTTCCCGCGCTTTAAAAAAAAAAAGGACCTAAGAATCGCGAAGCCGGTTAACGTTGCGCGAATCGGTTACCGGTTCGGCGAGCCGCGAGGGAGGGGGTTTGGAGCGTGAGTGCTTGTTCACGGGAGCGGTGCTTGGTCTACTCTTCCACGCCGAGCCCCCGGACAGTCTTGGAAGCGGGACAACTTTCCCCCAAAGACAAAGCTCTCTCCTCCGTGTGTAGCCTCTAGCGGTACAAAAAACCGGAGGAAGGGCCTTTGTTATTGATGCCCCCAGGGTCTGGAATGCTATTGCCAATAAACTGCAAATCGAATCGCGCTACCAATGAGATCTTCTCTCAAAACTGCTCTAGAGGCGTTGTACACCCCCTTAGCTGCCACTGCTATTCATTGGCGTAAAATAAATAAAAAATTCG